CACTTCATTCCTGTTCAAGATGGTGATGTCGATGACTTGTATAGGTCAAAAATATGATAGCCATTGTTTTAAACCCTGAGATGAAGTGAGTAAGAAGAAAGTAAGCATCAATACTCGAACAATGAAGTGAGTACGGTGGAATTTGATCAAGATTTGTGAAAAAAGTATTGTTCGTTGCATGGAGTGCTCCCGCACTCGACACTATTCTGGAGTTGTATTGTGATGTTTGTGTTCCCTGATCTAGTGAAAGGGTGTGTTACCGGTTTCTTTTTCTTCTTCTTTTTATGGTCATGCAGAAGAAGATTGTCTGTTGTCCTGGAATACTAGTATTGTGTAGGCAGAATGTTAGAAGTACAGCTACACAACGACCTATACTGCCATAGCACTGCAGAATGTTAGAAGTACAGCTACACAACGACCTATACTGCCATAGCACTGCAGAATGTTAGAAGTACAGCTACACAACGACCTATACTGCCATAGCACTGCAGAATGTTAGAAGTACAGCTACACAACGACCTATACTGCCATAGCACTGCAGAATGTTAGAAGTACAGCTACACAACGACCTATACTGCCATAGCACTGCAGAATGTTAGAAGTACAGCTACACAACGACCTATACTGCCATAGCACTGCAGAATGTTAGAAGTACAGCTACACAACGACCTATACTGCCATAGCACTGCAGAATGTTAGAAGTACAGCTACACAACGACCTATACTGCCATAGCACTGCAGAATGTTAGAAGTACAGCTACACAACGACCTATACTGCCATAGCACTGCAGAATGTTAGAAGTACAGCTACACAACGACCTATACTGCCATAGCACTGCAGAATGTTAGAAGTACAGCTACACAACGACCTATACTGCCATAGCACTGCAGAATGTTAGAAGTACAGCTACACAACGACCTATACTGCCATAGCACTGCAGAATGTTAGAAGTACAGCTACACAACGACCTATACTGCCATAGCACTGCAGAATGTTAGAAGTACAGCTACACAACGACCTATACTGCCATAGCACTGCAGAATGTTAGAAGTACAGCTACACAACGACCTATACTGCCATAGCACTGCAGAATGTTAGAAGTACAGCTACACAACGACCTATACTGCCATAGCACTGCAGAATGTTAGAAGTACAGCTACACAACGACCTATACTGCCATAGCACTGCAGAATGTTAGAAGTACAGCTACACAACGACCTATACTGCCATAGCACTGCAGAATGTTAGAAGTACAGCTACACAACGACCTATACTGCCATAGCACTGCAGAATGTTAGAAGTACAGCTACACAACGACCTATACTGCCATAGCACTGCAGAATGTTAGAAGTACAGCTACACAACGACCTATACTGCCATAGCACTGCAGAATGTTAGAAGTACAGCTACACAACGACCTATACTGCCATAGCACGGGGTCTGAATCAAAACCCCACGTCAACACTATACTACAAGTACCTGCAATGCCTACATCTCTGTCTTCCTGGACCACATCTCTGTCTTCCTGGACCACATCTCTGTCTTCCTGGACCACATCTCTGTCTTCCTGGACCACATCTCTGTCTTCCTGGACCACATCTCTGTCTTCCTGGACCACATCTCTGTCTTCCTGGACCACATCTCTGTCTTCCTGGACCACATCTCTGTCTTCCTGGACCACATCTCTGTCTTCCTGGACCACATCTCTGTCTTCCTGGACCACATCTCTGTCTTCCTGGACCACATCTCTGTCTTCCTGGACCACATCTCTGTCTTCCTGGACCACATCTCTGTCTTCCTGGACCACAGCTCTGTCTTCCTGGACCACATCTCTGTCTTCCTGGACCACATCTCTGTCTTCCTGGACCACATCTCTGTCTTCCTGGACCACATCTCTGTCTTCCTGGACCACATCTCTGTCTTCCTGGACCACATCTCTGTCTTCCTGGACCACATCTCTGTCTTCCTGGACCACATCTCTGTCTTCCTGGACCACATCTCTGTCTTCCTGGACCACATCTCTGTCTTCCTGGACCACATCTCTGTCTTCCTGGACCACATCTTTGTCTTCCTGGACCACATCTCTGTCTTCCTGGACCACATCTCTGTCTTCCTTGACCACATCTTTGTCTTCCTGGACCACATCTCTGTCTTCCTGGACCACATCTCTGTCTTCCTGGACCACATCTTTGTCTTCTTGTTCTTGTTGTTGTACAATTACAGCCGTCAACTGCACGTCCCCGAAGATTCAGAATGGTGTTCGGGACAGGAGTGTGCTAGCTTACACACAGAGTGTGCTATACTCATGCGACCCTGGATATACACTGAAAGGAATTGAGCGGCCAACTTGCCGTGCCGATAAGACCTTGAGCTCCGTGCCCATATGTGAACGTGAGTGCAATTCGCCTATGTTGTCCGTGTCCTAGTCACATTGCAGCGCAAATTTGGTTTCTTATCTTTCGGTTTGTCCCGTACATTTCACTTGCACGTCACAACCATTGCGGGTAATATTCTGTTGAGCAATTGCCACTACAGGCTCCACAGAAAGCTGAGAACTCTCAGAACTGGGGGCGGTAGGCGAACGATTCAGTTTCATTCTACTACAGGGCAAAACTAGCGTAATCTCAGTACCGCTGTTGAATGTTTGTTTGGTGATCGCACTGAGCAGAGTTGCAGCAAACTAGCCTCGAATACTGCCACTGGGTCCTGTACAGATGCCAGACTCGTTACTAATAGCGCTACCTGGACACTGTCTGGACGATATCGGTATTCTTGTCTTTGCAAAGGTGATTTGCTAGCAAACCGTATTATTATGGTCTGACCGCATGAATGTACATATTGTCTGAATTTTCCATTTGTAATATGGAAAGTGTGGGCAAGTTGTCAGTTTTGTGCTAGATTGTGCACGACTGACTTGTCAAAATCTGGTTTAGTTGGTGGACTCGATCGCATAACTTGTGCCCACAACTTCCATGTTACAAGTTTTCCACGGCTCACCATCTAAGTTCATAATTCTCCATTCCCTCAACTTATGAATGTCGATTTGTTTCTCTTGTAATGCAATCCGTATCTTACTGTTACTTTTCTACTTTTCCAGTCACACCGAAATACTGCCCGCAATTCAGTCGCCTGAACGTAGCCAGCACGGACAAATCAGCCGAGTTGAACAAACTGGGCGAGACAATCACTCTGACCTGTAATTCAGGATACGAAGTTCGTCTGGGCTCATCTGCAACGGCCAGTTATCGTTGTGCTGTTCATAATGCGTCCATCGGTCGATGGGACGGTGATGCTTCCTGCATTTGTAAGTGTAGATCTCACAGGTCCTTGTTTGTCTTCTATTGTCGTACTAGATGACAACTCTGCCTTCTACTGTTGTCCACAGGACACGTTTGTCTTCCATTATTGTCTAGAGGACACGTTAGTGTTCTATTATTGTACTAGCGGACACATGTGTCTTCCATTGTTGTCTAGAGGACACCTTCGTTTTCCATTATTGTACCGGCGGACAACTCTGTCTTCCATTGTTGTCAAGAGGACTCGTTCGTCTTCCATTGTTGTCAAGAGGACTCGTTCGTCTTCCATTATTGTACCAGCAGACAACTTCTAGTATTGTCCTACAGGACAACTTCTTGTCCTACAGGACAGTGTATATCATAATGCATAGTGATGAGCACAGTGCACATTGTACCGGCACACTTTGTATACGATAGTGCATAGTGGTTGAGTGCTGTGTACATTGTACCAGCACACTTTGTATACGATAGTGCAGAGTGGTTGAGTGCTGTGTACACGTCCTACAGACTACTAACTCGTACAATACATCCACAAAGTTTGACAGCAAAGCCCGGTAAACAAAGCGAGGGCCGCCTTGGGCTTCCTGTTTCACTCTCACACTCCATCTTCCATAGATTCTCTCCCACCAGCAGCAAGCACTAGGTCCGTGTGTCGAGGCGACACTACGCCAGGTTAAATGCTCACAATCTGACATTGTGCTTTCAGAATCTTTATTCTGGGTACTTGTTGTTTGTGTTTTGTGTTGCTTGGTCACCGGCCGAAAATAGCTGTGACATGCATTGTACCATCAGTTGCTAATGGTGTAAGTACAAATAAATCTATATTATATCTCGAAACGGTGAAATTCACATGCAACAATGGGTATCAGTTGAAAGGAGACGCGATGACTAGCTGCGGTGCGGACCGAAACTTGACCAAAGTGCCCACCTGTGAACGTGAGTGAAATGCCTGGTCGTGTTTGATAATGATCGCAATTGTCTATAGCTGTCATGATGCCGTGTGTCTGTGTGTCTGTGTGTCTGTGTGCCTGTGTGTCTGTGTGTCTGTGTGTCTGTGTGCCTGTGTGTCTGTGTGCCTATGTGTCTGGGTTGCTAACTCCACTTACCGTGCCATGCTTGGAAACGTATACAAATATTCAAGGGTGCAGCTTGTGTATGCCTCTATTTTCAAATGCTCATTTCCCTGATATTCCTTTTGGCATGGTCCTCGTTGTTGCTGCACCTATTGTTTTCGTATGTTGCTACTTCTGGGAGAGAGTACTCAAATGCATATAAAATATTTGGACATCTTACCGAATGTGTATCTCCCTAATGGCTACACCAAATTTTGTAGAAGCCTTCACTATATGAGCCAGCACACGCGAAAATCACCCTTTAATAAATAGTGACATATTTTCAGAAACTGAGATGACAGTGGATAAAGGCAGATGGATTTATGCAGAATTCAATGCAAAAAAACGTTTGAAAAAATCTTCAGTAATACTTGAGTTACTGGTCTTGGAAGATAGAGCATTTTCCCTGATATATCGCACATCATACGAAAACAGAGAATGTTTGAAGTGCATTTTCTCAGTTTGAAGTGCGTGTCACTAAGGTCGATTTTCGCGTGCGCTGGCTCATATAATGTGCATTGTGCAAGAAATTCTTAACTACTGCCGTTGGTGCTATAATATATTATTATAAGCATGTCCGCGTAGGTGGCGGGGGTGCCACTTTCGCTTATGCCATTCAGGATTGATGTCTGAAGAGTAATACGATTCAATGATACAATGAAATGACAGAAGTGACGTCAACAAACGCCGTTAGCAACAATGCCAAGAGGACTAATGGAAAACTTCATCCAAAGTATAAAATAAAATAGAATATGCATACATGTCTGGCGGAATAACGTGGATCATGAGAATCAGTCCTGTTAGGTGGGGCGGGCTCCACGCCATGCCTGTCGGTCCGCTGCCATACCCTAAACGAATTAGCAATGACACTCTGTAAAAGCGCTGCCGAGCTGTCCCCATCAGCGAGATGATCACAAGGCAGCGCTACAGTCTCGCTGGCCATATCTTTCGTTGGTGCTAGTGAGCTTAAAAGATTTTTCCTTTCAAGCTCTGTGGGTCCAAGAAAGTGGCTGGATAATTATGTCTTTCTATTTATTCTGATGACATGAAAATTCAGCCGCTACGGTTTATCGGGTGTTAGCGGCCGCCGTGAGCTCCCTTTTGGAGCGGACATGATAATTTGCTTTTGTTTAGTGAAAATTCAGAAACCGAAAGTCCTAGCCATTGATTCAGTCTTTTGGGACCAGAGTTATTACGTCATTTTGTTAAAGACTCTCTGCCTGTTCTTACCTCGTCCAATTTCAGTCCAACCCAACTACTGTCCGAAATTCAGTCTGGGTAAACTTGCTGCTATCGTCCCTTCAACCAACTCCAATAAACTGGGTGAGACTGTCACTGTGACCTGCCAACCAGGATATGAGGTTGGCTTTGGGACAAGCAAGAAAAACACCTACATCTGCACACTGAAGGGTGCTACCAGCGGAGTGTGGTTTGGTGATGCCAGATGCCAACGTAAGTCTGGGCGACATGGGGCTTGTTTGGCTTGTTTGCCTTTTCCCGCGTGTGCCATGCCAGAATAAATGCTCACAATCTGACATTGTGCCTTTTTGAATCTTTCATTCTGGGTTCTTGTTTCAAATCTTTATTCTCACGATAGCCAGTGGCCGATAAGAGATAATAGTGTAAGAAAAGAGAAAGAGTGAGGAAGAATTGGGTGGGCAGAGCCTAGGGATAATTGACTACTTAACTGTACGGGCAGGAGTAGCCGCTACACAAGCATACAGAGTTGTTGTTTGTGTTTTGTTTTGCTTGGTCACCGGCCGAAAATAGCTGTGACATGCATCGTACCATCAGTTGCTAATGGTGTAAGTACAAATAAATCTATATTATATCTCGAAACGGTGAAATTCACATGCAACAATGGGTATCAGTTGAAAGGAGACGCGATGACTAGCTGCGGTGCGGACCGAAACTTGACCAAAGTGCCCACCTGTGAACGTGAGTGAAATGCCTTGTCGTGTTTGATAATTATCGCGATTGTCTATAGCTGTCATGATGCTGTGTGTCGGTGTGTCTGTGTGTCTGTGTGTCTGGGTGTCTGTGTGTCTGCGTGTCTGTGTGTCTGTGTGCCTATGTGTCTGGGTTGCTAACTCCACTTACCGTGCCGTGTTTGGAAACGTATATAAATATTCAAGGGTGCAGCTTGTGTATGCCTCTATTTTCAAATGCTCATTTCCCTGATATTCCTTTTGGCATGGTCCTCGTTGTTACTGCACCTATTGTTTTCGCATGTTGCTACTTCTGGGAGAGAGTACTCAAATGCATATAAAATATTTGGACATCTTACCGAATGTGTATCTCCTTAATGGCTAGGCCAAATTTTGTAAAAGCCTTCACTATATAAAGTGCATTGTGCAAGAAATTCTTAACTATTGCCGTTGGTGATAGTAAGCTTTAAAGGTGTTTTCCTTTAAAGCTTTGTGGGTCCAAGAAAGTGGCTGGAGATGTCTTTCTATTTTTTCTGAGGACATGAAAATTCAACCGCTAGGGTTTACCGGGTGTTAGCGGCCGTCGTGAGCTCCCTTTGCGAGCGGACATGATAATTAACTTTTTTTAGAGAAAATTCAGAAACCGAAAGTACCAGCCATTGATTCAGTCTGTTGGGACCAGAGTTATTACGTCATTTTCTTAAAGACTCCTGTCCTATTTTTGCCTCGTCCAATTTCAGTCCAACCCAACTACTGTCCGAAATTCAGTCTGGGTAAACTTGCTGCTATCGTCCCTTCAACCAACTCCAATAAACTGGGTGAGACTGTCACTGTGACCTGCCAACCAGGATATGAGGTTGGCTTTGGGACAAGCAAGAAAAACACCTACATCTGCACACTGAAGGGTGCTACCAGCGGAGTGTGGGTTGGTGATGCCAGATGCCAACGTAAGTCTGGGCGACATGGGGCTTGTTTGGCTTGTTTGCCTTTGCCCGCGTGTGCCACAATAGGCCATCCGCACAAAGTGAAAACTCACTTTCATTGTGCCACTGTCAAGGATATTATTTTACTCGTAATACATTTTAACTTGGACACAATGTCATACTTTGCACGCATGCAAAACCGTCTGTTATTCACCCTGCGCGTCGCAAGTCTAGTGTGTGAACCACTATTTGAAAAGCGGGAATTCAAAAATAATGTTCCCCTCTTTTTTTAGGAAAACACGATGAATACATTGTTGCGTGCACAATTTGCCCAGCACCGTGTGAACTAGGTCTTGGTTTGCAAGTGACATTATGGTCATACTCGTGCACGTGTTTGCAAGTCGTGGGAAATGGCATGGCAAACTACACCTTGGTTGTGTGGGCAGCAAACCCTTTCTTATTATAGTAAAATGACCATACTACTTGTAGTGTTGACCATGCAAACTCACTTTTGACACGTAAGCATGAGATTTGCAACGGATTACGACCGGCGCCGCAGCACTCTCTTCCTCAGCTCACATTTTGCCAGCCTGATCGCCTTCTCGCTCTTTCACTTCCTGCTGCCAGTTTGTTTGTCTAACTGCCAGTGTCTTTCTTGCCTGTCTGTTTGTTTCTCTCTCTCTTTCTCTCTTTCTCTCTTTCTCTTTCTCACTCTCTCTCTCTCTCTTCTCTCTTCTCTCTCTTTCTTTCTCTCTCTCTCTCTCTTTCTTTCTTTCTCTCTCTCTCTCTCTCTCTCTCTCTCTCTCTCTCTCTCTCTCTCTCTCTCTCTCTCTCTCTCTCTCTCTCTCTCTCTCTCTCTCTCTCTCTCTCTCTCTCTCTCTCTCTCTCTCTCTCTCTCTCTCTCTCTCTCTCTCTCTCTCTCTCTCTCTCTCTCTCTCTCTCTCTCTCTCTCTCTCTCTCTCTCTCTCTCTCTCTCTCTCTCTCTCTCTCTCTCTCTCTCTCTCTCTCTCTCTCTCTCTCTCTCTCTCTCTCTCTCTCTCTCTCTCTCTCTCTCTCTCTCTCTCTCTCTCTGTCTCCTTCTCTCTATGTTTCCTTTTTATGAACTATAGCTGTCACATGTTCAGTGCCCATGGTTACTAATGGTCGAAGTTCATCGGCATCTGTACTCTATCCCGGTACTGTCACATTCTCATGTGACCATGGATACACGTTGGTGGGGTCAGCAACATCAACCTGTACTGTCCACCGAAACCTGAATACACTACCCTACTGTCAACGTGAGTCTATTGCAATGTCCTCTGTTAGCAAGAAATCTTGCGCAGATGTTTTGCCTCATGCGGAGTCAAGAGTATGTAGGCCTTTGTGCAGTATATGGACATGTTCCTGCTGTCCAAACACCAAACATTGCAGTCTGAACCATACACAGCTTACAATAGGGTTATGGCCTTCTTGTCGACTTCCTTATCTGGACCCAGTCTAGACAGCTGGCCGTATTGACATTGTAACGTGGTGACATCATAGCTGAGAGAGACTGGTCAAATCAGTCATAGTCAAGTCTAGAGAAAAATGAATCATTCTTTTTCGAAAAGCTCAAAGCCAAAGAAGCAGTTCCAAATGTGCTGCATACGCTGCACACACAGCGGTAAAGTAACATGACTCGCAGTGGTTGAAAAAAAAAGGAAATTATCATGTCCGTTCTCAAAAGGAACTCACGACAGGCCGATAAAAAGTCCAAAAGAGAAAAAAGAGCTTTCAATGATGAGATCATAGTGGTCGAAACAGCGCGCTGTAAGAAGATTTCCTTGTCAATATCTACAACTTGTGGTAGTATTGCTGGTGGTGTGAATGGGCTTGACGATTGTGATTATGTGCTGGGGTTAGAACTACATCAATGTTGAATAGGACGGAAGCTGCTGCTGCTCACAAACTTAGTTATAGTCAGATTGTTCTAGGTGTTCTAGTTGTTCTAGTTGTTCTAGGTGTTCTAGGTGTTCTAGGTGTTCTAGGTGTTCTAGGTGTTCTAGGTGTTCTAGGTGTTCTAGTTGTTCTAGGTGTTCTAGGTGTTCTAGGTGTTCTAGGTGTTCTAGGTGTTCTAGGTGTTCTAGGTGTTCTAGGTGTTCTAGGTGTTCTAGGTGTTCTAGGTGTTCTAGGTGTTCTAGTTGTTCTAGGTTTTCTAGGTGTTCTAGTTGTTCTAGTTGTTCTAGGTGTTCTAGGTGTTCTAGGTGTTCTAGGTGTTCTAGGTGTTCTAGTTGTTCTAGGTTTTCTAGGTGTTCTAGTTGTTCTAGTTGTTCTAGGTGTTCTAGGTGTTCTAGGTGTTCTAGGTGTTCTAGGTGTTCTAGTTGTTCTAGGTGTTCTAGGTGTTCTAGGTGTTCTAGGTGTTCTAGTTGTTCTAGTTGTTCTAGGTGTTCTAGGTGTTCTAGGTGTTCTAGGTGTTCTAGGTGTTCTAGGTGTTCTAGGTGTTCTTCTAGGTGTTCTAGGTGTTCTAGGTGTTCTAGGTGTTCTAGGTGTTCTAGGTGTTCTAGGTGTTCTAGGTGGTTTAGGTGTTTTAGGTGCAAAGAACAATAGCTATCAGTACAGTACAGTGAGACCTGTCTGAGATGACGGCTCAAGGGACCTTCGAAATGTGGTCTCCCTTGCTAGGTGGTCTTCTTGTCCAGGGTCATTTGACTTCACATAGCATCCCTTTGTCCAGGTTACAGTGGTCTTCTGGGGCAGGTGGTCACCTTATCCGAGTAGTCGCCTTGACAGGTTTGACAGTAAAAAGGGATACACATCGGTGTGCACGGTTGTTTCACGAACATGTACACACTTGAACCATTGATAGTCCAACTGACCCAAGCAGGCATGATGTTGTCAGTGGCCAAGAGTTGGGAATATACCAGTCAATGCACAAGGTTTACAATGATGGTAGAGATTAGAGGCTGGGGTTTCTGCAATAGTTCAAGAAAATGTTTATGAAAGGAGAAAATGGAGGCTTGCTTATGCCCTCCACACTTGCAAAATTCTCTCCGGAATGGACTTTAAAACAAAAAATAGGTTTACCACGGCCAATTTTTCTATTCTTCATGCAAGTCAAGAACACTTCTCTTCCGAAGAAAAACATATGATAAAGAAGTGATTGCCTGTAAGGCGATACTTCCACCTTGGTCCGTAATCCGACTTACGTTTACGTTTTTTCAAGATAATTATAAGAATGTATGCTCAAGCATGTTTGAGCCGGCACTGAGGCTGCAAGGCGTCGACATCTGTGTTTGCTATCTGTCTGCCTTTCTGTGCTCTGTTCCAGTCCGGCATGGCTTCTGTCCGCCGTTCTCCCTCCCCCACGTCGCTAGCAGTGTCTTGTCCAGCGCGGGCAACAAACTCAATGAAATTGTTACTGTTAGTTGTGAGCCAGGCTACAAAGTCCATAATCCAACGGGCAGCAGCAGCAGCAGCACAAGCAGTCGAAACAATTATGTGTGTACCGAGAACAACGGTGCTGGGACTTGGGCTGGTGATGCTCTGTGCGTGCGTAAGTGCAATCAAAATGTGTTCATGCATGTCCTCGTCTAGATTTGTTAACCAGTGTACGCCACAATCAGTGCAGCTGCATCAGGGTGGTACAGGCGTTCAATACGCCTGTCAGGAGAAACATCCCTCACCAGTTCTACCCTTCGGAGGACTTATGTCTGGCAGCACACATTCTGATACTCTGCAATCTGCTGTTTAGCACACGTTGTGATACTCAGCAATCTGCTGTTTAGCACACATTCTGATACTCTGCAATCTGCTGTTTAGCACACATTCTGATACTCTGCAATCTGCTGTTTAGCACACATTCTGATACTCTGCAATCTGCTGTGTAGCACACGTTGTGATACTCTGCAATCTGCTGTGTAGCACACATTCTGATACCCTTGAATCCACTGTGTACTGTATAAGCAGAAATATTCGTCTGGAAGTTAATTTCGTCGTTTTCGTCCAAGGAGCTTTTGGACTAAATTAAATGTAGGACGAATATCGATTTGTCCAGCGTTTCTATACACTCTTACGATCCATGGACGAAATTTTCAACCGGACGAACTCCTTTTCTTTGGAGTTAGACGAAATTATTGACCGACGAAAATTTCTGCATCTACAGTACCTACACAAACTAACTGCCATTCTCCCGAGCCCGAGCCATATGAACGTGCACGGATGCGTACCAGACCGACTGAATCCAAGACAATCAGAAAGGTCTGCTTTGCATCGACACGGGGGTGGCTGGGACGTGGCACTTTCAAACTCTATCTTGATCTGGTGTGATCAGCATAGACCTCACGTTTACTACCAGCAACACCATCAGTTGTTTCTGTTGGTCTTCCTTCCTGTTGTAGCTGTAACCTGCCCGGTGAGTTCAATTGGAAATGGCTATAGAACCAATAAATCTGTCCTGTATCCGAACACGGTGACATACAGATGTAACACGGGATACTGGTTGCTGGGAAACTCAACGCCAAGCTGTCAAGCCGATCGCACTTTGAGTTCAGTACCCGCTTGTCGATGTGAGTTGCTGATATGCTGTAACATGTTAGGTTGGAAACAAGTACATCTTATCTTGGAGCTGACTGATGGAACGCCCTCCCTGCCGCGATTCGCACCATATCCCTACCTGCTGCATTTCGCTCCGCTATCTTCACGTGGCTAGGGCACCCTGTAAGAAGACCATAGGTCTGGGGACTGCCCTAGTAAAATATGAATAAATAATAATATTTGAAACTCGGGTATTGAGCCAATAATAAAAGTAGAAAGGAAAAGGACATATGGAAACGAGTTAAGAGTAACTCTCCACCACTGTAACTAGATACTATATACAGTCAGAAAGTGCAACAACTGGGCACAAAACTGACAGAGTACTGAGACATTCGACATCCTGACACCTAGCTTCAACACATCTCCGTAGCGCTAACCGACAGCCTTCCAACTTGGAAGGTTCAAGGTTATGGAAAGACCAAAGAGGGGAAGGCAAGCGCAACGAAAACGAGCACAAGCTACAGTCCCAACGGAACAAAGAATGTCGATTGTCACTGGACGATGACGAGACCAGTAGGCGATTTGACAAAGCGGTCTAACTACAATTCGAAGCAGCAAAGCAGCACACCACCCAACTTGGGTGGGTCAAAAATATCAAAGATAAGTACTCTGTCAGTTTTGTGCCCAGTTGTTGCACTTTCTGACTGTATATAGTATCTAGTTACAGTGGTGGAGAGTTACTCTTAACTCGTTTCCATATGTCCTTTTCCTTTCTACTTTTAAATAATAATATGCTCTTAACTCGTATCCATATGTCTTTTTCTCTTCCACAAATAATAATAATAATAATAATAACAAAAGAAGACACAGTAGAGCTACTTGTATGAAATTGAACAACTGAACATGGTCACTATGACAACATGGTCACTATGACAACATGGTCACTTTGAACAAGAGTACAACTGTTATACTCGGATGAAGGGCCAAGGATGAAAAATAAAATAAAAAGAGGACCACATTCTGCACGTTCTTACATACCATTATACTCCTTAGATTATCGTAATAATCGTTTCATATTAACGAGTTTTAGCAACTCGTAAACGAGTAGAACAACGAGTCCGTGGTCAGGCAGTGCCCTGTATGCCTACACACACACATACTGTATGTATAGGGCTCCCTGTCCGTGGTCAGGCAGTGCCCTGTATGCCTACACATACACATACTGTATGTATAGGGCTCCCTGTCCGTGGTCGACTCGGATGCCTGGGTTCGAGTCTCGTTCGCTCCGCAATCGGGGCTCGTTCTGTACGAATCAAGGGCAGTTGATTCGTTATGGCATACGAGTCCTTTCCTTTGATTTATTTCATCTACCAGCATTCACAGCGCTAGCGCGTGCGGCCTGGAGATTTTATTCAAAAAGAGCATGATTTAAGAAGAGGGAAGCTTCAGCTTGAAGTTAAAATCCTTATTGTTGCTTTCTTTTGCTGGTGGATGATTTCGGTGCTCGTGTCCATCTTCTGGCACACAGCGAGAAGATCATTGATGAGGACGAAATAGTCTTGCTTTACTTTGCACTGGATGAATTGATCGTGGTGCAGATGATGGTGAGCGGCATGGTTTGAGACGTTTCCTCGGCTTGGGTTAGACAAGCTCAGCGGCGACGATTGCGCCAAACTTTTTCGATTTACTTTTCAACACGCTGTAGTCCTGGACAGGATCCGAACTCCTGTTGGTATGCATTTTAGCGCAGTGTTGCAGAGGAAAAAAAGTGCTAGCGCATATCGAATATGAAAATTAGTGACATGCATCATATCGCATGGGTCTCACTCGCACTCATTTCGTTTTCGTTCTCGCTCACGAGTTGCTAAAACTCTCTATTGACCTTTTGTGAATTCCCGTATTAATTATTGACCACACCATCCACAGTATCAAATTCAGTATCAAATTATAATAAATTTGTTCGATTTTTGTAAGCAGTATTTATCGGCTTTTGAGCTGATAAATACTGATTATAAATTACTCCCTTTTAGGGAAAGTACAGATCAACATACATGTATAATATATGTAATACGCCTTAGGATTTATAGCAATTACATACTTCCTCCGTTAATCAAAGTCTTCGTTATATTTCATGTCTGGCGATTATCGACCTAGATTAGATGTAGAGTCGTCCCTCTTTAAATCAGCACTTTACAAGCCACAAATGGTGCCGAATTATAAAGAGAAAACTGCACTAGTTTCGGGGACATGATTGAATCTAATCACCTTTGAATGTTCTGTTTGCAGTGGTCAATTGTAGCATACCAGCTATTGCAAATGGCACTGCTGATCATCACAACATTCTGTATGAAAAGAGCGTCACTTACACCTGCAGTGCCGGGTATTGGATGCTCGGTGTTGGCACACAGAACTGCACTGCTACGGGAGAGCTGACCGGACTGCCTGAATGCATAGGTGAGTACCCTCACGAAGCCACTTCCAACGTTTCTTGATCACAGTAAATGTTATGTTTCTCTCCGAAACCCGATACTAGCAGACCCGATACAAAAGAAGGAACGATCATCAGTCACACCACCGGGACTCGAACCACCTAGTACCCTGCAATAGGTCCTCAGTTTTGCAATGGCCTGTAACAACATTGGGTGGAATCAGAATTTGTCGCCGTGCTATATGGGGTTTGATGACTGCACTTGCATTACTTTCGATACGCTTGTTCATTCCTACACCTTCCACTAAAACCAAATGTTTATAATTATAGTGAGTAGCAGAGCTCGGTGGCTTGAGAACTCTGGCAAGGCACGTTCAGTCCTGGTTTCAATCTGGCTTTGGAAAACTTATTTTTCATTGCTATCAGGATTGGCCTCATTTTCACTGTGCTGCGCTGATGAGTCCACAGAGGACGAAACAGTTCTGTAATATACATAACATAATTATTATAATACCGCCAAAGCACCCTGTGTCTCCCATGCGCCCCTCCCTGACTTCTTGAAAAGAGTCCTTGTACGACTCTGTGAAGAGTGATGACGTACTGTACTGCAGACACGTGCTTGACCCGGTTGGAAATGTACACAGCAGCGCTCACTCTTTTGACCAGGGATCTCACAAACCGTGGGTTTTCATGGATTTGTACGACTCCCTGCTCTTGACCTTTGGTCGGTATACGCGACTCACGCTCAGTTTTAGCAGGGCGAGTACTGTAATTTCAGAAATTTTCGGTGTACTTTTATTTTCGGTACTTTCGGTGCGTCTGTTTCATACCTAAAATTTCAATACACCGAACAACCACTAACACACATAAACCAATAGGGAACTGCTTCTCCGTACCGAAAATTTCTGTTCACCTAACCTAGCCTGTTGCCCTCATACCGAAAATATTGAGTACCGAAAATTTCTGAAATTAGAGTACTTTTTCATGTAATACTGAATGCGAGAAGTAAGACTCGCCCATCCGCCCCTTCCCACCGGGATCTACTCGCGAGATCGCAGAGGTAGGGGCGCTCTGGCGGGATTTTTCGGAAGTCCCACTGACGGAAACTTCAGTAATTTTTGCCAATGTGTGAAACACGCGCCAGTTCGGGCAACTTCTTGTAACAGCTGCACTTACCGTATTTTCCGGGGTATAAGCCGCACTTTTTTAAGCTAAAAATCGGACCAAAATCGCCCCTGCGGCTTATACACCGAATTAGCTTACGTCAGTATGCATGCTGACGTCATGTGACATGTCATTCGACTCAGCTTCGCGCCTGTGTTGTTATCCCGACACTTTTACTAGTTTTAGTGCGCGGGCTACACCACACGGTACGCGTATACGGGGACTCTATTTTGCGTACTGCAAGTGCCGGTTTGCACACATCCTAGTACACAGCGATACTATAATACTACTTTTTGTGTATAAATAGTGTCGGCTAAAATCTTGGTTTGTGGGTGCGACTTATACTTCGAATACCAACTTGTAGTCAATATCTTGCCTCAAAAAGGGGGGTGCGGCTTATACCCCGGTGCGGCTTATACCCCGAAAAATACGGTATACTAATTCATCCATACAATGCAAGACTCCTCTGCACTTACTTTTTCGTATTTCCCGCTTCTTTGCCAGAGCACTCGCACCTCAGCTATAGGCCAGCACATGCTCCAGTGTTCCTTGTCTTCTCTTTGTCTTAGCCTTCGCTCTGAGCTAACATTCTCGTTAATGATAAGCATCCCTTGGCTGTGCTATCCATGTTTCTTCGTAGAGGATCACCAGTTGGAGGGGCATCGCTACTGCTCCGCGGCGAATGCCATTATCAAGCAAACTCCGACGGGTGTGGAATTCAACTACACCACCGCTCTGCTGGTTTGCATCAGAAATCAGGGCAACCTGCTTAGCTCCGCTGTGAAGACCGGTCATTGCATCACGGATGTAGACTGCTGGGTGACAGGAGCCGTAACCAGCACTACAGCTAATTCTACACTCAACATGAACCAGGATAAGTCTACAGCTCTACCAGTACTTTGTGAATACCGTAAGTATACCAACCACTAACACAAACACGTTTTTATTCGTACCTGACGATTGACACAGCTGCTAGATGCCTGAAAGCTGCATCCCATCTTTTTGTTATAGAATGAAATGTCCAAAGGCTACTTTTATCATTTCCTAATTTTGGACCTCCTTTGTGCTAATTGAACTTTAAAATTGCTCGCAAAGGTCATTTTCGACCCTGACAATTCTACTCCTATCAGTATTGGAGCTCTCTACTCCATGCTGCTTGTTCATTTGTGTAGTCAATGTGAACCAAAAAAAAACAGAAAAGTTCCAGGCTGTCTAAATAGTGATCAACACCCAAATTGCAGAGTTACACTTCCTCTCGCTCATTCTCTCTCTTCCTCTCTCTCTCTCTCTCTCTCGCTCTCTCTATCTATCTATCTATCTATCTATCTCTCTCTTCCTCTCTCTCTCTCTCTCTCTCTCTCTCTCTCTCTCTCTCTCTCTCTCTCTGTCTCTCTCTCTCTCGCTCTCTCTCTCTCTCTTTCTTTCTCTCTCTCTCTCTTTCTCTCTCTCTCTGTCTGTCTGTCTCTCACTCATTCTCTCTCTCTCCCTCCCTCCCTCCCTCTCCCCTCTCTTCACTTTAGCTTGCAAGCGCACCACCAGTGATCAGATTTCCAGCATCACCGACGCCGGCACTGTAGTATGTCGTACTGGTTATGAATATCTGCCTCCTCAGCCGGTCTGCAACGGAAACTCACAAGTCCAGCGCTGTACAAGTAAGATAATGAAGTGATATTTCACATACCGTATTTCCTGGAGTTAAGCATGCACCTGAGTGTAACATGCTCCCCCCCCCTCCCTTACCTTCTGCTCCACCTGCTCAAACTTTCAGCCATGAGCCATAGCCAGGAATGATGAGTCCTGACAGAAAATTTGATCGAGAAATCAGTAATTCGCAGCGAATGGACCACTTGCTTTGAATATGGTGTGTAGGGTGTTTCACTCAATTACTTGTGAGTTGAATTATTGAGTTTGTGGTTTCCCCTCCAGTTGTCAACTGCACTGTTCCACCGGTTACAAATGGCGTACGTCAAGCAACAGTTATTGTCCAATACGGTGATCATGTCAACTTCTCCTGTAAGATTGGATATCGACTGGTTGGAAACGCTAGTCAAACTTGCATGCCGAATGCAAAGCTGGGGGCAACACCAGAGTGTCGAAGTAAGTCGGAATAGCACGGTACAATGAGGGATTTCAGGGTGTGCAGTGAAGTTTTTTATTTATTGCGGGGGCCGTTTGCTTCCAATGGGAATCCTGATGGAAAATTGGACATACTTTTCAACATATCCAAAGCTTTGGTTATTTACCCGCACACCCGGTTAAAAGCAGCAAGACTGCTGAATTATACTTTCTGTCCACTCAGTAACTGGAGAAATTTCACCCGAAACCCAAAACGACTTGTCTACTGGCCGACCAACGGTCAATACCGTTGGTCAGTGTGGTGCAATGTTATCGTTAGCTGATTGTAAAGTAACTGGCGGTGTTAGTGGACATCATAGCGTAACTTCTAGTTCGTTGGTCCCTTTCTGCCGATTACATTATATACGATTTTTCTTCTTCTTTGTTTTATATTGTTACCTTGGCAGTCAAGACTTGTGATTTGCCGACCGGACATTTTGATAACAAAGTGCCGTTCATCGACTATCTTCAAGTTGTGACACTGTCCTGCAAGACAGGTTATTGGATGCTGGGCGACGCCACACAAAACTGTACAGCCCAGGGAAACCTGACTGGTGTACCGAAATGTTTGCGTAAGTCAGCCTCGTCCATTGTTATGTTGTAGTTGCCGTTGTCCACCTGCTCCCAGCCCCGTGCCATCTCCACACTTGTACAATGGACGACGATAACTACATTTAGATCGGACTGTTAAGTACACAAAATAACGTGCTACAACAGTTACCCCACGAGCAACTCACTGACTCCACTTGAAGGTACTCAGGTCAACCTTAGAATGATAGGCGTACACATTCTCAATCCGCCTTTTGTTAGTGCTGATCTCTATTTAACATAGGTGAATCCTTATTGTGGTAGCTACCGTATTTCCCCGATTATATGTCCAAACTTGATTAAAAGTCGCACCCCCATTTTCAGGTTTAAACCAAATTGTTTCAATATAGTAACATCAACAGAAAGTCAATCTGATTTGTAAGTCACACTCCCGTCCTTGCTCTTGACATTTAGTGCAAAAAGATTCGACTTATATCCAGGGAAATACAGTACTTCTAATCTCTTTTTGGCCACTGGCCACCGTGAGAATATACATTTCAAAAAAACATTTCAAACAAACATTACGCAATTAAACCATTTGTACTCAGGAAATTGCGCTCAAGTAAGAAGGGTGCAAATCTGGTCGGTTGCAGTGGGCATGAAGAGAGCATTTTGAGTGCAGACAATTGCGCTGGCTTATAAGCTGCTTCATTCATTCTCTAGTAGTTAGCAGAAAAAATAGTCACTGGTGACTTCAGGAAGAACACGTTCCTGTCAAAATGAATTGATGTTCATTGGTTGTCATTTGGTTATGTTTTACTCAATCACTGCTTGTCTCCGACTGGAATATTATCAATTTATAGACGGTGTACTATAGTGTACTACCTCCGGAAACAAAAAATTCGGGACATGACTTTACATGACTTTTCAAGGAGTTACTATGCTCAACAGAAGTGTTCTTTTGGAAGAGAAACACTTCAACACATTCAATCAACATAATCATGTTTAATATCTTCAGGATCGATTAGTGGGAGGAATGTCTCAGTCTAGCAGGCAGGCACAGTGGATTGGTCTAAGACCATGATTGAGAAACGAGAGGTACCAGGTTCAAGTCCTGCTTGGAAGCGGAAGGATTTTTCCAACCGTGCTGCGACCCACAGTTAATTGGGAACTCGTGGCCTGGCATGAGTAATACATGGATGTGGCAAATGGGATCGAGGCCTTTGGCCTCTGGTTGGTGGATCTGATCTATCCTCCCCCACCGTTTAGGAGCCGCATCTGACGCCTGATCATGGGGTGGTGGCGTCCCACAGAAGCGGAAAGGTAGTTTTTGACCAGGAAGTTGTACGACTCCTTGTTCTTGACCTGCCCGGTACGCTAACCCCGTCGAATGTATCAGTCTGCGTCACCATAGCTCGAGTCATCACCGCTGAAACCGTCCCAAGTGGCAGGTCGATCGACACGATGTCGTATGTCGCAGAGAAGCTTCACCGAATTCCTCATGGTCTTGCTGTTGCCTGAATGCCTTCTCCAACATCTCGGCAGAGACCACAGTAGCACTGTAGCACTGGTACTCATTACCACCCCCGCTCCCGCTCGAGGACAAACACCGGCAGAGCCAAACATTTCAAATTTCCTCCGAGGGATATCATAGTCGTACCAGCACTTCTCGACTGCCCAGATCAGATCTCGGCTGTTCTCCTTTGCGACCAAGGACACATCGTCGAGGCTGCTGGAAAAGGCGACATCATCCACGTTTAGGTCTGGGGCCTCTGGGCTCTTCAGGGCTGAACGTTAACATTATATTTTAACTTGTTCATCTTGCTCTGCTGCGCGAAGTGACGATTGTCACATCTCTGCGTTTTATAGTTTTGACATTGTGCCGACCTGTTCCCATGACGACAGGCGTTTCTGGGATGGCGAAGATTTGAAAACACTAGCAGCTATCGTTATTCATTTTCCACTCTTCTTGCTCTTCGGTGCCATTATCCTGCTCTGTCAAGTTAGTTCTGAACTAAAACATAGCTATGATGAGCAATTAGCGCAGTTCTTTTCTTCTCATTGCGCCTGGTGGACGCAAATGAAAAACATGTTCGCTTTGCGTTGTTTGCAACGTCGACACCCTTGCTCTGCGACGGCTGTCGGCTCTCCAGAATTTGAATTATGCTTTCCTACGATTCCGAAATGTCATGTGAGTGTTCCAGGCTGACGGAACCAAAGAAAAAGAGCGAAATAACAGCAGCGAAAAGTAATGAAAAAACGTGAGGAAGCTTTTTGTTCCCGGAAGAAGTATGATAGTTCTGTATTAAAAACGGTACACAAATACTCGCCATACTGTACAGGAAGAAATTTTCGTCGGTCAATAATTTCGTCCAACTCCAAAGAAAGGGATTTCGTCGGGTTGAAAATTTAGTCCATGGACTATAACAGTGTATTGAAACGCTGGACAAATAGGCATTTAATTTAGTCCCAAAGCTCCTTGGACGAAAAAGACGAAATTAAATTCCAGACGAATATTTCTGCTTGTACAGTACATGATAAACCACAATGTGCACTCCTGTACTGCAATGTCTTCTAAACACTGTGACACAACTCTCAATTGCATCTACTGCACTCACTATTCATGTTTCACAGATGTCCGCTGGCCAGTTGTGCATTGGCGGCTGGTTTGTATTCCTGCAAGCAAGACATCTATGTAACTGTGTTGTCTGCATGTTGGGTTCTCTCTTTGTAGAGGATGAACAGCTGACTGGACATCACTACTGCTCCGCAGCTAACGCAACAATCAGTCAGAACCCGACTACCTACAATTACGACACTGCACTACTAGCGTGCCAGAGAAAGCAAGGCAAACTGCTTTCCAGTGTTGCGTTCCGGAGTGGTTGTACGGCACACGTCCCAACAACAGAACCTGCGTGGACCTTTGATGTCTCTGGCAGCCACAGAAGTGTCCTGGCTACTGATTCAAACAAATATTCCAAAGTCAACAATCTCAAGGTTCTTTGCGAATTCCGTGAGTGATAGTCCTTTGTCTCATTATCGGTGTCGCTATTGATCTTGCTGTTGCTGTTGCTGTTGCTGTTGCTGTTGCTGTTGTATACTGTATTAATAGTGGAAATCAAAACAGGCAAAATGCCTAATAACATTGGACCCACTGTGAATAAAAATGTAAAAGGATATTGTGGAAAAGTAGATATAAGAGAAAAAGAGAAAGAAAAGAAAACGGAAAATTTTGCTGTTGCTGTCGCTGTCGTTGTTGCTGTCGCTGCTGTTGTTGTTGTTGCTGTTGCTGTTGCTGTTGTTGTTGTTGTTGTTGTTGCTGTTGCTGTTGCTGTTGCTTTTGCTGTTGCTGTTGCTATCGCTGTTGCTGTTGTTGTTGCTATTGTTGTTGCTGTTTGTTGTTGCTGTTGCTGTCGCTGTTGCTGTCGCTGTTGCTGTCGCTGTTGCTGTCGCTGTTGCTGTCGCTGTTGCTGTCGCTGTTGCTGTCGCTGTCGCTGTCGCTGTCGCTGTTGCTGTTGCTGTTGCTGTTGTTGTTGCTGTTTGTTGTTGCTGTTGCTGTCGCTGTCACTGTTGCTGTCGCTGTCGCTGTCGCTGTTGCTGTTGTTGTTGCTGTTTTGAATTCTTTTATTCTCATGATGGCCTGTGGCCAATATGAGAAAAATAATTACAGGCACGGGGATCAGATACAGAGAGATCAAAGTTTAGCTGCTTGCTGAGGCAGCAGCGATGGCAATACTAATTGGGAGTTAATCACGTAGACTGGGCGCAATGGAGCTATAGATGTGCTGAGCAGTGTGAGCAAGTACATACGGAAGACATGACAAGTGGTAGGATGATTGCTTTGAAATCTCGTCTGGGGTTGATTTGCCGGATGCTGGGTGGGATGCTATTAAAGAGATCAAGAGAAGCATAGATGGGGGAGTCTCTTAGCCGGTTTGTACGTGTTGTGGGTAGCTCAAAGGTTCGGGGGAACCTGAGCATGCGAATGGGTTGTATTCGGGGTAGGTGAATTGCAAGAAGGTGTGGTGGTGCATATCTATGATGCAGGCTATGTGCAAGAGGGACATGGGAGAGGGTACGGCGGCTGCTGAGTGATGGCCATTTGAGTCGGTGCAGCAGCATGGAGTGGGTTCTGTGTTCAAAGAGGGGGAGATGCAAACAGAGGCGAGCAGCGCGCCGTTGGATGCGCTCAAGCCGGTCGTTCAGGGTTGCGGGGAGGGGTGAGAGGACAGTGCAAGCATACTCAAGAATAGGGCGGATGTAGGTTAGATAGATGGAGGAGAGAGCAGAAGTGTTTAAGGAATTGCGTAGTCGCAGGAGAAGGAACATCTTCCTGGTCGCTTTAGTGATGATGTAGTCAACATGCGAGTTCCAGCGTAGATTCTGCTGTATGAGGAGGCCAAGGTGGCGATGCCTTGAGGCCACAGTGAGGTTGGTATCGTTGAGTGTGATTGATGGTGGTCTGGGAGGTGGCCGGTTGGTGTGGTGAAAGTGGATGACAGTGTTCTTACTTTCGTTGACCAGGAGATGCCAATCCTTCAGCCACTGTGCTGCGGTTGTCACAGCTGACTGGAGGTGCTCTTCTGCGGCTAGAAAATTCTCGTGAGCGGCAATGATGGCAGTGTCGTCGGCAAACTGGCTGCACTCAGTGTTGGCATTTATGCAGGCGGTTGGCAGATCAACTGTGTAGGCCGTGAACAAAAGCGGCCCCAAGACAGAGCCTTGGGGGACCCCCGCTGGAATGTTTAGCCAGGTTGATTTGCTGCTCTCCACTTGCATACGTTGTCGTCTATTGGTGAGATAGGAGGCAAGCCACTGGAGGCATTTGCCATCGAGTCCGAGGTGGGCCAATTTTGGAGTAGTCCTTGGTGCCACACCCGGTCAAAACGCCTTAGATAGGTCGGAGAAGCAAGCAATTACTGTTTGCCCGGCGTCTCTTTTCTCGGTGATCTGATGGATTAACCGAGATAGCTGCTGTGTGGTGCCATCGTATGGCCGAATGTTTGTTGTTGCTGTTGTTGTCGCTGTTGCTGTTGCTGTTGCTTTCGCTGTCACTGTTGCTGTTGTTGTTGTTGTTGCTGTTTGTTGTTGCTGTTGCTGTCGCTGTTGCTGTCGCTGTTGCTGTCGCTGTCGCTGTTGCTGTTGCTGTTGCTGTCGCTGTCGCTGTTGCTGTCGCTGTTGTTGTTGCTGTTGCTGTTGCTGGTGCTGTTGTTGTTGTTTGTTGTTGGTGTTGCTGTCGCTGTCGCTGTTGCTGTCGCTGTCGCTGTTGTTGTTGCTGTTTGTTTGTTGTTGTCGCTGTTGCTGTTGCTGTCGCTGTTGCTGTTGTTGTTGCTGTTTGTTGTTGCTGTCGCTGTTGCTGTCGCTGTTGCTGTCGCTGTCGCAGTTGCTGTCGCTGTTGCTGTTGCTGTTGCTGTTGCTGTTGCTGTTGCTGTTGCTGTTGTTGTTGCTGTTTGTTGTTGCTGTTGCTGTCGCTGTCGCTGTCGCTGTTGCTGTTGTTGTTGCTGTTTGTTGTTGCTGTTGCTGTCGCTGTTGCTGTCGCTGTCGCTGTCGCAGTCGCTGTTGCTGTCGCTGTCGCTGTTGTTGTTGCTGTTTGTTGTTGCTGTTGTTGTCGCTGTTGCTGTCGCTGTCGCTGTTGCTGTTGTTGTTGCTGTTTGTTGTTGCTGTTGCTGTCGCTGTTGCTGTCGCTGTTGTTGTTGCTGTCGCTGTCGCTGTCCCTGTCGCTGTTGCTGTTGCTGTTGCTGTTGTTGTTGCAGTTTGTTGTTGCTGTTGCTGTCGCTGTCACTGTTGCTGTCGCTGTTGCTGTTGTTGTTGCTGTTTGTTGTTGCTGTTGTTGTCGCTGTCGCTGTTGCTGTCGCTGTCGCTGTCACTGTCGCTGTCGCTGTTGTTGTTGCTGTTTGTTGTTGCTGTTGTTGTCGCTGTTGCTGTTGCTGTCGCTGTTGCTGTTGTTGTTGCTGTTTGTTGTTGCTGTTGCTGTCACTGTTGCTGTCGCTGTTGCTGTCGCTGTCGCTGTTGCTGTTGCTGTTGCTGTCGCTGTCGCTGTTGCTGTTATTGTTGCTGTTGCTGTTGCTGTTGTCTTTGCTGTTTGTTGTTGCTATTGCTGTCGCTGTCACTGTTGCTGTCGCTGTCGCTGTTGCTGTTGTTGTTGCTGTTTGTTGTTGCTGTTGTTGTCGCTGTTGCTGTCGCTGTCGCTGTTGCTGTCGCTGTTGCTGTCGCTGTCGCTGTTGCTGTCACTGTCGCTGTTGTTGTTGCTGTTTGTTGTTGCTGTTGTTGTCGCTGTTGCTGTCGCTGTTGCTGTTGCTGTTGCTGTCACTGTCGCTGTTGCTGTTGCTGTTGTTGTTGCTGTTTGTTGTTGCTGTTGTTGTCGCTGTTGTTGTCGCTGTCACTGTCGCTGTTGCTGTTGCTGTTGCTTGGATGTGTATCATAGACTATAATAACCGCGTGTACGAGTACGAGCATTTTGTGTGTGCCCATGTGGTGTAGAGGTAGGCGCAGTCGATTTCCAATCGAGAGGTTGTGGGTCTTTCTTCTCTTTCTCAGTCTCCTGGCTTTCCTTTCAATCTCCTGCGTGGTTACCAACAGCCAGTGCATGCTAGAATATGCGGTGTGATGTGTTTGGGGAAAAAGGATAGAGCTGAATACAAGTTGTTGATCATATTGCTGGACCTGTTGGCTATCTGGTATCTACTGTCTTGCCATCGGTATTTCTGTTGCCTCATTTCTTGCAGCCTGCTATCGCAACACATCTGTTGAAGATTACATTGAGAGTGTGATGACGGATGGGTCGGTTGTCTGTCTTCTTGGGTATGAGTACGTGCATACCCAACCCGTTTGCAAAGGAACATCACAGATACACGAATGCACTGGTGAGTAGTTATTATTGGCATTTGCACATTCGATGTCCCTGGCACAAGCACTGGCTGTGACATTCATTTTTTATTCACACTACCGCTGCTACCCCCCCCCCCCTCTCCCCCCACCCCTCTCCCCCCTCTCCTTCTCCCCCCCCCCCCCCCCACCCCACCCCTCTCCCTCCCCCTCTCCCCCCTTCTAGTCCCTATTCACCTGATGAGCAATTGATTTTTTTGGGCTCCCTGGGCACTAGTTTGTGCGTGGTATGTGCAGTACAGTAACTGCTCAGTCACAACTAAAATTTTGAATGGTGTCTGCTGGGACGGCCCCACCCCCCCCCCCCTCCCCCATTGTCCTCGGTGATTCACATTTTGAATTCTGGTGTGATGACTGATGAAGGTGAGGTTCAGATGTTTTCACTCCTTTAGAACCTGCACTGATGGATAACTGCACTACGTTTATTTCAAGGGCATTCCCACGGCAACAGAGTCCCTATATTTGAGTGATGTCAATTTGTGCTCGGGATGGTGCGTGTCGGGTTTCTTATATGTGCCTGTGGTGGGAAGTGAGTGTGTGTCGGGGTGGGTTATATGTGTGTCGGGGGGGGGGGGGGAGTGGGGTTGGGTGGGGGGGGGGGGGGGTGACTGCCAGGGTGGGGGGGGGGTGCTATTGGGTTGTATGTTATTTTGTGGGTATCTAGAGGCAGACGATTTGCAGAGGAGGCTTGGTACAAGACTGCAATATAGATTAGGAGCCTTTACGACATTACGATATCAGTTCCCATCCTAGGGTTTACTGTGTGTTTTTCCCACGATCCTAACCGAGTTGCGTTTGTTGTATTCTGTCGCCAGTAATCCACTGCAAGGTTCCAGCCCTAAGTGAAGGCACCAGCAATCTGACAGTAATCCGCTACCTGGAATCCGTCAACTTCTCCTGTCACACTGGGTTTGGCCTGGCGGGCAATGCAACGCAGACGTGTACTGCTAATGGAACTCTCAGCTCCATGCCATCCTGTCTTAGTAAGTGTACTAGTGTCATGAGAAAAGGATAATGAACATACAGAATACAAGTTAAGAGTAACTGTTCACCACTGTATCTACTTCCTCCGTTAAGCAAAACTTCGTTGCGTTTTTACAGTTCAGTCCAAATCATTCTATGGCTACGAACACGCTTTGCAAAGTGGAAAACAAGGCAGGATATGAAAGATAATTATTTACAGATGTCACACAGCTCGTTTCAATGCAGTCCAGCTTCACTCTTCGTCTGAATCTGATAACGACTCACTCCCTGATGACATCGAGTCTGCATCCTCGCTGACTGTCGCCGCCACTGCTGCCAGCTTTTGTTCCGCAGCCTTTACCAGTTTCCAAGACACGATTGTTTTGATTGTGGAGATCGCCAAGTTCTTCGCTCGAACTGTGCCCTTGACGACCTCCACGGTGGCGCTGATAGTTGTGGCCACTCTCCGGACCGCCATGGAAGGAGGCATACAGACCCAAACAAACGCTCGCCATTTTCGCAGCGGTGTGTCGTGGCAGCACGTTCCACACCCTGCAGAAGCCCCTTCCTGGTTTCCTTCGCCACGAGTGACACGTCTGTCTACAGGCTGTGGAAGAACGCCAAGTCGCCAACGTTGAGATCAGGATTTTGCGACGACTGAACGACAACCTGAATGTCGAACGCTTTTGATTTCCCCTGCGCTGCAAACACAAGTGCATTGATTTTGGCTGTGTGCGGATGCGCACCATCGACTGGTGCTAGTACAGCAGTGCCTGAGCGCTGGCCGGCTCCTATCCTGGACATTTCTTCGAGCCACGAGGTCTTTCAAACTGGTTCTAATTTTCGCACTTTGGTGCCATGCGCGCGCGCCTGGGGTTGTGTTCTGGTGACATCCTGTCAAGAAACAGTTCTGCTTCGCCGATTTTTCAAAGGATTCCACGCTTTTCGGAGGTTCAAAAGCCTGTCAGAACAATGGACGACACCTCAGCTACCCTGTGTAGGGAATAGATCACTGACATGTTTGTCTAATGCCGACAGAAATCTCATGACAAGAACACTAAAAACGCAACGAAGTTTTGCTTATCGGAGGAAGTATATACTACCATATGTCCCGTTCCTTTTCACATTTATTATTGGCTCGACGTCCGAGCATAATGAAAAAATGAATTGTTCTTTTGTAAATATTCCGAAGTGTAGTATTTTTTTACTTAGAAGACAGCCCTGCTGAGAGACATGTGCAGACCAATACAAAACAAGACACAGGGGATGTAGTGACATTGTGCAGATGTACAGGGAGCAACTCGACCGTCCAGAGGTCTCGGCGGTAGCGTTGCAAGCTGGCATCTGAAATTGGAGGGGGGGGGGGGGAGGCAGGGTGAGTACCCGTGCAGTATGGTCTGCACAGTGGATATTATGCTGTATTTTCAGAGTGTAAGCCGCAATGTAATTTTTTCTTCTTCAGACTTTTTTCTCGTTTTCAACTGTCTCAACCCTATCGATATTCATGCTAAACTTAATCGGTAATTATGGCCGTATCAATATTGTCTTCTCATTTACTTTTCAATTTTCCTGGGAACAGATCTTGATGAATGTTCCACTGACGGCCATGATTGTCATGTTAACGCTCTGTGCACCGACAACAAGGGCTCGTACACATGCGAGTGCAACACTACCTTTACGGGCAATGGAACGTACTGCGAACGTAAGTTGTAATCGTTTCTATTAGGTTTACTTCACCAGAATGAACAGGAATGTTATGCCTTCTGACCGACTGTGACAGATGGTTCTCATAGTGTGATGAATGTGGTTATGCCGGTTGTGCAAAGACGCATAAAGTGACGGTTAGTTGTATTGTGAATGCTCCACACGAAGAGTGAATGCTCCACACGAAGAGTGAATGCTCCACACGAAGAGCGAATGCTCCACACGAAGAGTGAATGCTCCACACGAAGAGTGAATGCTCCACACGAAGAGTCGGAATACAAAACCAGCTATACGCACCAAGAAAATAAGCTATGGACATAATCTGAATACACCTAGGGACCCAGGGACCTAAACCTTACTTTCTCTCAAGCTGATAGTTACAAGATTGCTCAAAACACATACCGTATTATCTCTAATATAAGGACGGTCCTTTATTTTTTCAATGTACCTCCGCCGCGTGCTATTGTTGGAGACATTCCTTTATTGGAGACTGTTCCATTATTATTTCCACCTCATTTCAGAGGCTTGTTGCCATGCCAAATTAATGTCAGACACACACATTTCAGGGTTTTTTTTCGCCGGTACAGATAATGAATTTACACAGTGTACTTATAATGGAGACTGAGCATTTTATTTTTTGAATCCCGCCCCAAGGTGTTCTATTATTGGAGACGTGCTATTATTGGAGACTGTGCTTAGGGCATGTTCGATTGGTAAGGATCGGGATCGGGATCCAGATTTCAGATCCCTCGGATCCTTCAGATTCAACTGAACACTTTATTTTGGACCTTGACTGTTGCCATGTTGAAAATGGCGCTCACAAGGCACCCAAAAGGGTGAACGTCGTACTCATCGCGTGCGTGGTAAAAAAAGTCAACAAGCTCTATCTCCATCCACGTGTGCGTACCACAATGTGTACAAAAATAATTTTTACCCGCCATATACGCACAAAGGTCACATTTGGATCCGTTGGATCCAGTCAACCCTGCTCCCCGAGGAGGGTTGACCGGATCCAAATCCGAAGGATTCGGATCCGGATTCGACCAATCGAAAGGGTGCGAATCCAGTGGATCCGGTGGATCGGGATCCCGATCCTACCAATCGAACATGCCCTTATACAGTAGGTATCGGTTATAGCGTGGGTGTTTGAAAAACGACTTTCTATTCTTATTTCCGATAATTCTTACACACGATAAATCAAGTGTGGAATATCACATGCATGTGCGCAGGGGCAGGAAGATCATCGTACATGCAACGCAGTACTTCTGTGCATTGGCTGGTCATAGTCCCATAGGCTTACCATGTGGCTATGCAAAATGAGTTACATGACTACAACAGTTGAATCTGCAGCAGTACGACGCAACGAGAGTCACATAAGAACGGAATTGGACAGATGTTATTACTACAGGCGATACACTTTGTACTAATCTGGCATGTTTTGCTACACAAAGTCCATTCTTAGGACCGATGTATTCTACTGTGGGAAAAATTGCTTGTAAGAATAAATGTGCAGTTGAAATCCATGTTATGATTATGAAAACATGAGAGTTCATTCTTGTAGGCAGTATATTCTTTTACACGACCACGCTATAACCGATACGCACTGTATTAGGTAAACAGTTTCCTCTGAGACAAAAATGCGATAATACTCATAAAAAGGACACACTTCAGGCTCATTACAAACATCTTGAAAGTTTTTGTCTTCACAAGTATACTTTCAAGCCTTCTCGTCAGGTGAAATACAGGCAAGGGAAAAGGAACAGGAACATTGGATTAAATACAGTAAGGAGGTGGCAAAAAAAGAAGATAGCTAAAGTAAACAGCAAAAGTTGCAATAATGACACAAAGGTGCAAGTGCAAGAAAACTCAATAAGCGTGACATGTAGTGCGACAACAAGAGACAACCACTGGACATACATGTAACTAACGAGGTTTCAACGACCTACCTACCTTTATTGTGCTTATATTAGAGATAATACGGTATACGGTCTCTGAACTGCAATTAAAAAAATTAAAATAAATTCTCCGTCATGATGGAGAATATAATTTTTATAATTCTGTTCGGAGACCGTATATGTAGGTGTGTTGAGAGCAAACATTTAATATAATGAATTGATTGCAGTGGAGGCTGAGCCCTTTGAAAATGATTTTCCAGAGTCCAGAGTTGTTGAGAATTGACAATAATAGCGGAATTAGTGCGCGCTGCATTCCCGCTCTTGATACGCACCACCCTAGTGAATCGCTATGTGTGTGTGGTAAAGGGGTGAGCGGGGAATGCTACTCTGAGTTTTTTATGGTACCTGTAATACATGTAATACATGGAACACTCCACTGCAACATGTCCAACATGTCAACGATAAGCCAATTGGGCAATGCCGTGGTTTGTACCACCAGCACTCCACACAGCCACCTGGGCATGGTTTCAAATCTTTATTCTCACGATGGCCTGTGACCAATAAGAGATAATAATTAGTGTCATGTGGAAGGTTATATAGGGTGTTGTACAGTGCTTTACCGATCCCAGCTTACTCAAACCCATCACTCTTATCTTCCATATTTGGCAATGCACAATGAGCTCGTTTATCGGAGATCGTTATTGTTATTTATTACATTTTGAGTAGGGCATTCATGAATTAATTAATTAACGTTGAGACCAATGCATTTCCTTTTCCTTCAGAAATTGATGAATGCACAACGGGTGTGGACGACTGTCATGCCAAGGCCCACTGTACAAACACGGATGTCTCTTACACATGTCAATGTTACACTGGATACCAGGGTAGTGGAGTGCAATGCTACAGTAAGTAACCAGTGTGGTATCAGGAGTAGGTTAAGTCATCCAGTCTGTGCACAAAGTGCTCAACACCCGGAAGGGCAGACATTCCTTATAAGTGACGTGGAGTAGATTTTGTATATCGACTCAAAGTTTCATGTTTGCGTGGTCATCAGGCAATATATTTTTCTGGTACGAAACTGTACAGAGTATCGTGAATGCAACCCAGTGAGGCATTCCCAGTGAGGCATTCCCAGTGAGGCATTCCCAGTGAGGCATTCCCAGTGAGGCATTCCCAGTGAGGCATTCCCAGTGAGGCATTCCCAGTGAGGCATTCCCAGTGAGGCATTCCCAGTGAGGCATTCCCAGTGAGGCATTCCCAGTGAGGCATTCCCAGTGAGGCATTCCCAGTGAGGCATTCCCAGTGAGGCATTCCCAGTGAGGCATTCCCAGTGAGGCATTCCCAGTGAGGCATTCCCAGTGAGGCATTCCCAGTGAGGCATTCCCAGTGAGGCATTCCCAGTGAGGCATTCCCAGTGAGGCATTCCCAGTGAGACATTCCCAGTGAGGCATTCCCAGTGAGGCATTCCCAGTGAGGCATTCTACTGTCCTCAGATTGATCAAATACCCCGAGAGTACTGAACTCCCGACAAGTGCTCTTCTTCAGCTGCAAGACTTTCTCAAAGGCAACACAGTTTTCTCTCGCTCTTTCCATGTTTGTTTGCCCTGTATTACTGTGTGTGTGTGTGTGTGTGTGTGTGTGTGTGTGTGTGTGTGTGTGTGTGTGTGTGTGTGTGTGTGTGTGTGTGTGTGTGTGTGTGTGTGTGTGTGTGTGTGTGTGTGTGTGTGTGTGTGTGTGTGTGTGTGTGTGTGTGTGTGTGTGTGTGTGTGTGTGTGTGTGTGTGTGTGTGTGTGTGTGTGTGTGTGTGTGTGTGTGTGTGTGTGTGTGTGTGTGTGTGTGTGTGTGTGTGTGTGTGTGTGTGTGTGTGTGTGTGTGTGTGTGTGTGTGTGTGTGTGTGTGTGTGTGTGTGTGTGTGTGTGTGTGTGTGTGTGTGTGTGTGTGTGTGTGTGTGTGTGTGTGTGTGTGTGTGTGTGTGTGTGTGTGTGTGTGTGTGTGTGTGTGTGTGTGTGTGTGTGTGTGTGTGTGTCTATGTGTATGTGTGTGTTTTCTCCCTCTGTCTCTCTCTCTGTCACTCTGTGTGTGTGTCTCTCTCTCTCTCACTCTCTCTCTCTCTCTCTCCCTCTCTCTCTCTGTCACTCTGTGTGTGTGTGTCTCTCTCTCACTCTCTCTCTCTCCCTCTCTCTCTCACACACTCTCTCTCTCTCTCTATCTATCTTTCTCCCTATCTATCTATCTATCTATCTCTCTATCTATCTATCTCTCTCTCTCTCTCTCACTCTCTTTCTCTCTCTATCTCTGTCTCTCTCCTTTTACCCTCTTCCTAGCTTTCTATGCCTTTATCTATGGAGCTTGTATTTTCTATACCTTTGAAACTGCAGACATTGATGAGTGTGATAGTGGAAAACATGATTGTGACAGTAACTCAACCTGTGTGGACACAGCAGGGTCGTTTGAATGTCTCTGTAACCTTGGCTTTACCGGCAATGGAACCGCCTGCAAGAGTAAGTTCCTGGACCAATATTCGGGCGCAGGGCAGAAGTATAATTTGACAGCACGTTTGAAATCATGGAGTGCGGGGAAAGATTGTGCTGCAGTGCCCTTTGATTTGTGAGTAGGGAACACTGTCCAAACCTATATCATCACAGGAATATTGAATGAACTATCATTCCAATTTTCTTTCCACTACAGTCCACTCATGAAAAAAGATGTGCCCTGGCTCTAGCAAGCTCCAGTTTTTGTGGTGAATCTGTCGTACCTGGTGCACTGTGCTGAGAAATTTGAAACTTTACAAGGGATGCAAAAAGGTACCTCAACTGTGGCATGGGGGTTCTAACTGCACAGTCTACTATTGCAAGTACAGTAAACCCTGGTGCAAGGGACGTCTGGCTTTAGCGACCACCTGCTTTTAACGACCGCTTTTGATTGCACCATGGGGTGGATATTCCCAATTCAGTTCTTTTGGAGCAAACCTGGCCGAAATTATATAAGAGAGGTTTTGCATTCCGAATTTCGGAATGATTTTCGACTGTGCTTTTCCGAAAAAAAGCGCTTTCCGAAAACGGTATTTTCAGTGTTTTGCATTCCGAAAATCTGATTCGACTTCGTTTCCAAGGGTTGCCATGCAAAACAAAATGGAGAGCGTCGAAGGGGTTGAGCAGGATCAGGGAGTCGTAAAATACCTGGTATTTTACGACTCCCTGAGCAGGATCAAATCCATGTGCACAGGTCAAACTGGGTGCGGTTCGAAGACGAGGACGGACTGATGGTGGACCAAGTGATCCAACAGCTGAAGACGAGGTTGGCGAACTACTCACGTAACTGTCTTGCACTGTCAGTAGGCTCAAAAGGAAGATAGAGTGTGATGGAGTGTGAGAAGATTAGTCAACATGGCGAGATCAGCGAGAGCAACAAAAATCAAAACTACATACGTGGAAAATTTTCAAATAATCGAGAGCAGCAGAAAGCAAAAATACAAACATGAAAAATACACTTTTTTGTATTCAAATATGCACTCCCAAACATGAAAGAGCCGAAAATCCATTTTCGGAAAACCATGCACTTTCGCCGCCACACTTCCGAAAGTTCGACTACTTTTTCGACTGCTGCCGCCACATTCCGAAAATAATTCCGAAATTCGGAATGCAAAACCTCTCCATTATTGTTACAGTTAGCTTTTCAAAGAAGTAGATTCAGAAGAGCATTCCACAGGGGATTGCCACAACATTTCCCCAAAAACTCAATGTTTGACTCATTTCTGGCACTTCACGCTTTTAGATCTGCTCACACTCTGCTCACACTTGCACCATTTCCCCATTTCCATCTATGTGTACATGTATGGGTCACACATTTGCCGCTGGTGTTTTAGCTCTCCTTCTTCTTTGCACTGTTTCTATCCCCACCATGCTGCACTTACATTGATTTTGCCTGTATTTCATCGGACGAAAACGTATGAAGCTGTACTGGAGAAATTCTTTTCAAGATGTGCAACAAGAACCTGACCCGTGTCTTCTTCTTAGTATCAGTATGCAGGGAGCAGGGGAGTCGGACACGCTACGGTCACCACACTATGCACACGCTACGATCACTACGGTATTGACCTTACCACTAATCGCCCCAAGCACCCCATGAATCAGCAACATGCACTGCTTTGGGCTCTAAATTCCAGACGTGTTTGGCTCAGTCACATCTCCCCCATGAGTAAATTCTACTTCAGATGGCTGACCGTAGCACACTAATTCCCTTCCACCGCCTCCTGCAGTGTATATGTACATGTACACTGTGCATAGTATTGGCATGGGTCCCATCAACTAAGAATATCTCTCCTCTCCCTGCAGACGTTGACGAGTGTGCAGGCAAAGTGTCTCCGTGTCACAAGAACGCCGCCTGTACAGACAGCGTTGGCTCACATGAATGCACATGCAATACAGCTTACCAGGGTAACGGAATGACTTGCTCGCGTAAGTCGTACTTTTCATCGTAGCACACTCTTGTTGTTGTGTTTTTATTTATAGTGGTTCAACCAAGCATGCAATGGTGCCTTCTCACCAGGAGACTACTTACTGTTGGCCATAAATCTGCACAACTCATGCTGCACATACAGTTGAACATCGATTATCCGAACATCGACTATCCGACCATTCGATTTTTCGTAACAGTTTTTTTGGGCGCACGTGCCGTAGAGTACACACTGTGCATGTAGTGAGCCATTCAAAAAATACGGAAATTTTGAAAAGCAAAAAAGTGAAAAGGTCGTGCGGCTAGTAATAACCACTGAAAGTGTGTGAGTGACAGTTTTTTTCTTATCCAGAACATTTGCCTTATCTGAACACCGCCTGACAGTTGTCTGCCCAGAGGTGGTCGGATAATCGCTGTTCAACTGTAGTACTACACCCGGCGCTCGACTGATGACTATATTTCATGTAGTAGTATTCGGGTTTCCCGGGAACTAGTTTGTGCGCAAGGTGTGTGACTGCCGTGTCTAAAAATAATAACGAGAGAGCTTGGAAGCTCAGGGTCCTGCGCTATGCATTTTTTGCCTAGCTCATCACGCATGTTATTAGAACTCCTCAATCAGTTTGAATATGAGTTAGGCAAACGTAATTACAGAATTTATTTGGGATTGTTATTTTCTCTCCATATTTGGTTTGCTCCTCCCTTTCCTTTTTATCTCCTTATAATATCTCCTTATAATTGGATGGAGAAGTAGCAACTGTTTGGATGGAGAAGTAGCAACTCTCCTCTCTCTCCAATGGAGAGAGAAAGATTTTCATAGAGCGGCTTGCTGTGAGAGGTGGACTGAGACTTGACAGCACTAACGGAGAATATCAAGACCTTACCGCCACGGAGCTGTGGGACTCTGCGCTGGTAGTCTATCCGTGTGGAGGCAAAGCAAACGCGGGCAACATTCTGCTGAAGCGAGCGCGGAGCTGAAGCTGGATTGGTGACTGACGTACCTGCTTACTCCACAACACCGGCGCATAATGATGTACAAGACTTTGTGCGTGTTCAACAGAAATTCGTGTTCCGTCAGCGTCAGTGTCAGCTAGTAGTACGATTTGTTCCCAATATAACTCCGGGGCAGTCTGGTCATGGTTTTCGTTTGTATTGGATTCGTTCTCTACATTTGCGATAATTTCGCGGTAATTCTAATGTTGTAGCGTTGTTCTCTTGTAATTTAGTGGAACCTGTATTGAGTAACTGAGTTTTATTTTTCGTTACATTGTCGACAGATCTCCTGTGTACCGGTTTTGTGGCACAATGATTATAGCCATTCGTCGTCTCCATTCTTGTGCAATCATGCGTATCGAACTCAAATATTTTCGTAGAGATTCCCGCGAACCTACTTCGTATCGCTTCGGTTCGAGGCGACAGCTGAGACTTTTCTCTTCGACCTATATTTTGCGATCTCTCCAAAAGACCTAGATTCTGTTGCTGACGGCCGAATGCATGGTTGCCTGTGGAGCACATTACATAACTTTACAGTCTCCTATAATACGCATCCTGTCCGACGGCAAAAGAGGCTGCGGATTTAGTTTTTCTGGATGTTATCAGCAATGACTACTGATCTTCAGCAACTTGGATCTCCTATCATACGCATCCTGTCTATGCTTTTGTAATGCTAACATAATGCTCGGGATAGCACTCGCTACTTATCTACAGAAACTTGGCCTGACTCTTACTCACAATAAGACTGTTGTTATGTTCATTGTTCCCAAGCGGTCGCTGGTTTCTCCCACAATTTCATCGTACTGTTTTAGGACATGCTATACGACATCCTTACACATTATAACACCGTATAAGCCCTGCGGCCAGCTGTCCTTGCTGGCATGGTATGGGAAAGGTACGGGAGAGCGCCAGGCATGCCGATGGCACAAACAAACACACTCGGAATTAAAGCTGTGTGGACCCTGGCAAGCGCCAGACGTGACTGAAGTAACGTCTTTTGCATAGCTACGGCAATAGAATTGTTGCTAACTGTATGTGCACACATCTCCTGTTCGGCTTGCCTTCGGTGTGTTGTTTCAGTTGCGCTGGATTTCTGCCCAAAATTCACCCTGGCTAATCTTGCGCACACTGTGGCATCCAGCACAGGCAACAGGCTGGGCGATAATGTCACCGTGGTGTGCCAAACTGGATACGCTGTTCAACTGGGAACATCCTTCACTCTGGACAACTATATATGTAGTAATAACCACAGCAAAGGGACATGGATTGGGGACGCTACTTGCGAGGGTAAGTCATTGGGTCTCGATGCGGGTGGAAGGGGTTCAAGGTTGTGTCAGCCGTTGGAAGGACCGATGGTCATTGGTGTTGTCTTTCGAAGACTCTTTTTCAATTTCGGTTACCCGTTCGGGGGGGGGGGGGACCTACATGACCAGCTGCTGACAATTAACAACTACAAGATTTCAAGTTTCAAGCATGTTTTTGTGTGTTTTGTGTTTTGTTTTCGATGTATGGGTGCGTGTGTGTGTCTGTGTGCCCGTTAATGTGTGGTCATGTACGTGGATGTTTGTGTGTTGGTGTGTATCTGTGTGCGTGTGTACGTGTGTGTGTGTGTATGTATATGTGTGTGTGTGTGTGTGTGTGTGTGTGTGTGTGCGTGCATGCGTGCGTGTGTGTGTGTGTGTGTGTGTGTGTGTGTGTGTGTGTGTGTGTGTGTGTGTGTGTGTGTGTGTGTGTGTGTGTGTGTGTGCGTGTGTGTGGGTGTGTGAGTGGGCGGTCATGTGCGTGGGTGTTTCCGCTCTATCTGCACGCAATCGGTTCTGCGGGTGTGCGGCAATCACGTTTGTCTTTCCCCCTATATTGTTGGCTGATGATTATGTAAACATGAAACTCAGAGTAGCGACTACTTAGCCTTGATTACCCTTGCTGTTCTGTGTCTTTCTCCCTACAGGACTTCGGGCTAGTGACACCACCACTGGCAGCTCAACATTCTTAACAATATCAGTCAGCATTCTGGGATTCGGTATTGTGGTTCTTGCCGTGGCATTTGCTCACCATCGCGATCGGCTTCCGACGAGAAAGCCCCGAATCAAGAGCCAGAAATGTAAGTGATTTGCCTGTCTGTGCTTCATGCACGGCTAGAGGTGAGCAGTTATCGTACGGACGTGGAAGGTTTAAATGCGGTCTGCTCACAGGTGCAATGCTATTCGAGTCATGTGACTTGGACGTGATATATTTACACTCGTGCGCGCACAAACACACATAATACACACACACACATTCACACACACACACACACACACACACACACGCACACATGGACACACACACACACACACACACACACGCATACACACGCACACACACACACACACATACACACACCACGTCCTTGATCAGTCCGTGTAGGACCCTGGGTAAAATCTTTAACAATACGTTGACAGGCATAGCGGTGTGCACTTTGAATGCACTCAACGTCTGACCAGCTAGCTAACTGTTTGGAATTTGTTAAGTATCAATACCGCATCTCATCATTAAGCTGTGAAAGTACATTATTATCATTCTGCACTGCCTAGCCCCATTGCAAACTTCCCCTAATTGATTCTGCTCTCGAGGTACGGTGCAGTTGGGACCTCACTTGTTCACTTCTTTCACTTTTCATTCAGAAACTGGTGGGCATCACACAACTGCATTGTAAATAAAAGGGGGTTTTCAACCGCTTTATTAAAGGGGAAGTATACCCTAAAATCAAATGTTCACCAGTTGTAGTCTTCGGGGTGCTGAGTCGAATGGTCTTGGTCCGAGGACGCTGAGACGCTCCCTTCCTCCTTTATTCCCAATCGAACTTGCGCACTTCCACCAAAACTGGGTGACTGCGCCCTACTAGATAGGGATTTGTATGGAAAAAGTCACTAAAAACGCCGTTTCGTTCTTATAAAAGCACGGATGACCGCGATTGGTCCATATGTTGTAGTCTTGTGGCCGCTGAGTCGACTGGTTTTGGTCCGAAAAGGCTGCGATGCAGCATTCGGCCCTTATTCCCAATCGAACACGGTTGAGTGAGCGGCCACGTGCCTGCAGAATACAATTTTCACATCAAGATTCAACTCAAATGTTCAAAGCAGGGGGTCGTAAGAGGCCTTAACGACTCCCTGGTTCAAAGGTTCAACTCGAGTGACATAAATGGGCCCAAACAGGCTGTAAATGAGCACGTGACCGCTTACTCAACCATGTTCGATTGGAAATAAGTGCCGAATGCTGCATCGCAGCCTTTTCGGACCAAAACCAGTCGACTCAGCGGCCAAAAGACTACAACATATGGACCAATCGCGGTCATCCGCGCTTTTATAAGACCGAAACGGCGTTTTTAGTGACTTTTTCCATACAAATCCCTATCTAGTAGGGCGCAGTCACCCAGTTTCGGTGAAAGTGCGCGAGTTCGATTGGGAATAAAGGAGGAAGGGAGCGTTTCAGCTTCCTCGGACCAAGACCATTCGACTCAGCACCCCGAAGACTACAACTGGTGAAAATTTGATTTTTAGGGTATACTTCCCCTTTAAGTTGCTATTCACTCTTCAGACTGAATAGCATATAAATAGAGCGGTTGTCAGTTGACAACCCCCCCCCCCCCCTGTTATTTTCACTTATCGACTCTCACTTTCACTGAGCGGCATTGTTCCATGTGTTTTATGGGCTTTCTGCAGCCGGAATATTGTCATTGGTGGACAGTAATGTACCATGTGCTGGTGCTGGTGGCAAATCTGACTTGATGGATGACGATGATGGCAACTACCAGACATTGGAAGGACTACAGCGTAACGCACCGGCCAGAAGCAGCACTTTCCTGAGCCTCTCGGGGGCTGGAGGGGCATCGTTACCGACGCCGCAGGATCAGAATCAAAACTCCTCCTATTACAACTTAAAGAAGAAGGGCCGCGGCTCGGGCAAGAGCACAGGCAAGAATGGGCAGCCCCCAACCATCGTCAACAGCCCTTACTACAATCTTAAACTGAAGGGCGGAGTAAACTATGATACGCCGGGCGGCAAGTCAGAAGACATTTACCTCGATGATACGGACCTGTACGAAGAGAGCGTCGTGAATGTGACTTCGTCTGGGCTGTACGAAGTCGAGGACAACTCATTCTTCACGAGAGGTACTCGAGCACCCGACCTAGTTACCCCGGATAACGGCATGAATTTTGAAGCTGGCATGACCTGCACTACAATGCCATACCTGGGCAGTTTACACAGCAATGACGCGTCAGAGTTTGACAGTGACACCTTGTATGGAAATAATGACTCTCCCAATCCATCTCAGCCAAACAGCGTTGACATATATGGTAACAGTGCTTCACCGAGGGGCTCGATCATGGCGGATAGTATGTCCGGTGTTCTTAGCATGGGAATTCGAAACAATCCAGGCATGCAATCTGCTACTGATTCTATCTATGGAAACGACGCCTCGCCCTGTGGCTCACGCAGGAACAGCAATGAATTATCTCCTAACACCTCGCGCAGTGGAAATATGTTTGGTGGAAATGTCGGTCTAGCAGGCATTGCCAATGCTTTCCAACTCGGCCAATCTCAGGCCAACAAGTCTTTGCAGATGGGATCTTGCAACGACTCCATTTACGGCAATGACGCCTCACCCGGTGGATCTCGCCGCTGCAGCATGGAGATATACGGAAATGCGGCGTCTCCGAGAGAGTCATGCCATGACATCAGCCACAGGGGCAACATAGGTAAGCTCGCCAAGACGTCAGAACTGACATCATCGACTGAACACACCAACACACGACCTGCAACCGTAGGCGGCAAGCCAGTCGCCCAACCTTCGTGCAGCAACGCTAGCCAGTATAGCCAGACATTGAGGCATCAGAGCCAGATGGCCACCTCAGCTTCCAGAGTGGAGAGTCGCAGAGGCTCTGGCGATGAGTCGATCTATGGGAATGACTTCACCCCCTTCGGCTCGCGTCGCAACAGCAGGGAGAGAGGCGGAGACGGAACATCACCACAGAGCACATTTACCATTACCACACTGGATAAGTCGAATGTGATAACAACGGAAGCTCACGGCCAGCAGCCGTCGAGCAATCTCGATGCAGCTGTTGCACTACAAATGAACCAGATGTTAGCGCTGGGAACAGGGGACCGCAGAGGATCAAACCAGGAGTCTATCTACGGAAATGAAGCCTCTCCAAACAGCTCCCGGCGAAATAGCGGGGCCGTGATCGCCACCAGCCTAAGTTCCGGTGGTAGCTCTATTGGCCTTAGTATGTCGCAGGTGAAAACATTGGGATTACTGGGCCAGTCGCCTGGTAATCTGATGACAGGGGACCGCAGAGTTTCGAATAATGAGTCTATATATGGAAATGAAGCCTCTCCAAATAGCTCTCGACGAAACAGCGTGGACAAAAATGTGTGTACTAGCGAAGATGACTATGAAATAGGATACCAGGTCAGAAACTCGACAATAATTGAGCCCATCGGAGAAGATGATTATGAAATCGGGATCCGACCCACAAACCCTGCATCACTTCAGGTTACTGAAGACGACTATGAACTCAATTACTCCCCAAATTCCATTGCGCCAACTGAAGAAGATGAGTACGAAATTGGATACCAAGAGGCTCCCTCAATGGCCAATGCACCGTCTTCTCCGCGCCCTGTGATGTCGAAACCACAGGTGCCCTCTTCTGCCCGGCCGAGCCCGTCAAAAACCAAATCGGCCATCCCTGGATGGTTTTCAAAAGCCAAGTCACAAGTTCCTTCATTCGCACGGCCCGACTCACCGAAAACTCAAGTACCCGGCAGACCAAAGGCGGGTCCTGGTGGCTCAAAACCCCAATTGCCAACAACGGCACGACCAGGTGCAGCAGCCAAGGCTAAGCCGCACATACCTGCTGCCAGAGGCGCTATGCTAATGGCAGGCAAAGGAACATCCGTTGCAGTGGCTGAACACAAGCAGCAGCAGCAGTCGGCAGGCCTCGAAATGAACAGTTCCAATGCTGGTGACGATATCTATGGTGCAATTGAATAGAAGGTGTGCACTGCTAGTTCTCGATGTCTCCAAGACTGACTCGACTTTCTTAGTTTCGTATTATAAAACAGTAGGGAATGTTCACAATTACCTTGCTGAGTCTTTGGTCTTGCTGGTCCAGTTCACCTAGCTCACTGCCAACAATACTCTGCTGCTCCAGTTCACCTAGCTCACTTACAACGACACTCTTTGACCGACCGGTGTGCTGCCCCGGCAGAAAATTATACCATGTAGTCTTGTGTGCTTTAGTCAATTTATCCGTCTACCAGTCTCGTTCTTTCCTGGTCATTAATAAATACCGGTATGTGTGTTATCCAACCATATAACGTAGTGTTCTCCCGGAGAGTGTTGAGGAAACTCAGAGAAGCAACACGCTCCAGATTGTTGATGTTCTCAAACACATCTGCCAAATATTTTACTTTTAATACAATAATATAATTATTGTGCTAGTTTTATCCCTTTTTTTGGAGCCGTAGTACAAGAAGATTTTTGTTTCTCTTGGTCAGTAACATACCGCATGCCTACACAATGTTGACATCATCCCGCACATCGTGCATACAATCATCGCACGTACATGTATGTCGCCTTCTCCGTTGCATACGGAAACTGTTTGGGTTTAAAATATCCTTCTCTGTAGGACTCAGTGGATCTGCAGTTCGCCAATCATCCAGTATTTTCACGCTGCTGCACACAAGCTCCGTTGCTTTCATGTCACGTATGCGTTTCTTTTCTAGTTAATACCATCACCGTCCATGCATAAAATGAATTATTGATCTCTGTACTTTTTTCCACATTTGAGTTAGGCCGAGTTAGGTTCAAAACCCAATTTAAATTCTTCTGGAAATGGGTTTGAGATCAGCATGCCTGTACAGATACAGTCCTAAACAGGGCAAAAAAACCTTTGGCCACATTTTGAGCTTTTCAAACTGTGGCCCAGAAATTCACTTCCTTACGTGGACCGATTGGGCAAATAGAGAACAGAAAAAAGAGCATTCCATACTGCACTGCAAGAGTACTAGTAACTTGGGAAAGGCTTAACCGTTGACCCAGTCATGGCCAAAAAAGCATAATGGTGAGGTGTTTTCTGAATGGACTGTACTTCAGAAACCCTAAGACGGTTTTGCATTAATTTTGTCTTTCAGTTTGTTTGTTCACTTTGTTGCAACAGTCGCTGTCTCAAAGCATTTGGCGTGCTACCTACCGTGCTGCTCGATGAAATCCAGTCCCGTCACTTAAGTACTCACCGGCCTGGCATTGCGCACCGTAGATCTGCTGCGAACACGGGGCTGCGAAATGGCACACGGTGCAAACCTGTGTGATGTGAATGGTTTTCATAGAGCAGCACTGTACATGGCTGGACTATATTGTACGGCTAATACGATTATACCGATTAATACTTAGTACATGTACTCAGAACTCAATATTTACTTGTTAGAAAAGATATCGAACCCGTCCTGCAGTGGGTACAGATTCCTGCACGAGTACGAGGGCAGTATCTACTGGACATGCAGGAGGTCATGCAATGCGCTCAGGTTCCTGCACGAGTATGAGGGCAGTACCGTGGAATCCAGCCCGCTCCGCGATAGCGGCAAGGGCTGGATGAACAGCGGTACTGGCCGAGTATGAGTGACTGGAACGTGTTTCCCGTGTGCACCCAAGCCAAAGAGCATGCACGTTGTTCTTGTATTTTCCGAAACACGCGCCACGTTCGTCAGCCAATGAACGCAGTGGATTCCGTTCTTGCCCATCGTCAAGTGACGACGGGCAGTAGAATCCGTTCCTGCCCATCGTCAGTGGATCCAGTTCCATCAACTTTGACCAGGCAGGACCACGCTTTCCAGCCTGCGTTGTTTGATCTGCCATTGGTCGACTCCAAGGCGACAATCACGTGACATACGGGAAATGAACTTCACTCTTGTGCTCAGTATGCAGCGGAACCATTCAAGGTCAACCTTATGCACATGCCAGTGACTCGCTAGTGCATATTGCTGTGGTACACTGTGCATTGCTGTGGTACACTGTGCATAGCTGTGGTACACTGTGCATTGCTGTGGCACACCGTGCATTGCTGTGGCACACTGTGCATTGCTGTGGTACACTGTGCATTGCTGTGGTACAATGTGCATAGCTGTGGTACAATGTGCATTGCTGTGGAACACTGTGTATAGCTGTGGCACACTGTGCATTGCTGTGGCACACTGTGCATTGCTGTGGCACACTGTGCCGAGACTTTGCCAAAGCTTCTCAACCCATGATATATTCCCATTCCGGTAACATCTATACAGACTACAGAGAGTATTTACAGTTCAAACAGGACTGCGGTAAAGTACCGTTGATCCGCCCCCCCCCCCCCCCCACACACACACACGCCATGTCGCTTCCCAGCTGGGTTTTCGGCTCTGTTTAATACACTGTACTGCATTTTCAGGAAAAAAAATTCCAGCGGGGTTTTCGGCGGGGGCGGGAATTTGATTAAGGCCGTCAAGTGCAGTACGATGTACAACATTAACAACGTGGAGGATCAGACTCGATGTGCTGAATTGTGCACATTTTCATCCAGGATTGGCACGTTTTGTGTACAGCAGTGCAAACATCGTATTTCGTTGTATACGGCGAAATCGCTTCACAGGTAGAAAATCGACAGGGGGGGGGGGGGGGGGGGGGGAATTAGAGATAGGGGCGGATCAATGGGACTTTACGGTATTACTATTCGGTCTTGTCTGGACGGCCGCGAGGTATAGATGTTTTCCCGAAAGTGACCCAAACCTGTATTTCCCCGAAAGTGACCCAAACCTGTATTTCTCCGAAAGTGACCCAAACCTGTATTTCCCCGAAAGTGACCCAAACCTGTATTTCCCCGAAAGTGACCCAAACCTGTATTTCCCCGAAAGTGACCCAAACCTGTATTTCCCCGAAAGTGACCCAAACCTGTATTTCCCCGAAAGTGACCCAAACCTGTATTTCCCCGAAAGTGACCCAAACCTGTATTTCCCCGAAAGTGACCCAAACCTGTATTTCCCCGAAAGTGACCCAAACCTGTATTTCCCCGAAAGTGACCCAAACCTGTATTTCCCCGAAAGTGACCCAAACCTGTATTTCCCCGAAAGTGACCCAAACCTGTATTTCCCCGAAAGTGACCCAAACCTGTATTTCCCCGAAAGTGACCCAAACCTGTATTTCCCCGAAAGTGACCCAAACCTGTATTTCTCCGAAAGTGACCCAAACCTGTATTTCCCCGAAAGTGACCCAAACCTGTATTTCTCCGGCTACTTGAAACGTATACGCACACCGGGTCGCGGTTGGCACCCTAGGAAATTTGACTTTGTACGCCGAAGTCAGCTCCATCATAATAAGCTCTAGACTCCACTTATAATGAATACGTATATGTAGCTAATTTCGTGATGTGGCGAACCATTGTCCATGTCCCTGTTTGAACTCATACAAAATCGACCCTTTCTGAATGTCACACAACACACACACGCACACGGAAACGCAAACACAGCTGCTCATTGCTGAAGCGATGTAAGCGAACAAGCTATGTTGGACATCATAGCACATCCATACACGCACTCAGAACACCAGTATGCACACACACACATTGTGCTCCACACTCCATATTTGGAAGTGCATGCACAGTAAAACCACCCCAACACGGACAGATTAAGAAAGCACCCGGCTGGTAGTGATAGTGTGATAGAGACACCACCTCCCCCCCCCCCCCCCCCACACACACACACCAACGCACCCCCCCCCCCCCGCACCATTTGACCGTTTGGCCATTCGACGCCCATCGCCAGAGGCGATGATAGCGATGCTACAGCAGAAGCCATAGCAGCTTGTGCTGGGATTGCACCATCCAACAGCTTGCAAGGCTGAAGAATGACCGCTACTATTCAGCCCGGTCTATGAACACACACACGCACACCAACGCATATGAACACAACCACAAGAAAACTCACTCTGAAGAAGCGTACATATCACGCTTCTTGTTTCCTAGTACCTTCACTTGACAAAAGTCAAATTAAAAAAAAATTAAAAATATTGAAACTTCACCAAGGCATACTATTGTCCTTTGGGTTAGTCGAAAGGCAGTCTCGCTAGGGAGATGATTTGAAATGATTTAAAAAGGAAACTGCATAGAAGCTATAAGCAGCAGAAGTAAAACACTATCATACAAGTACACATCGGGGGGGGGGGGGTGGGGGGGGGACCATGGACTCATCCGGTAGATCATACAAGTACACATCGGGGGGTGGTGTGGGGGGACCATGGACTCATCCGGTAGATCATACAAGTACACATCGGGTGGGGTGGTGGGGGGGGGGGGGACCATGGACTAATCCGGTAGATCATACAAGTACACATCGGGAGGGGGGGGGGACCATGGACTAATCCGGTAGATCATACAAGTACACATCGGGGGGGGGGGGGGACCATGAACTAATCCGGTAGATCATACAAGTACACATCGGGGGTGGGGGACCATGGACTCATCCGGTAGATCATACAAAGTACACATCGGAGGGGGACCATGGACTAATCCGGCAGCGCAAAAGGAAGTACCGAAAACACTATCGTCAACAGTTTCCTGGATGACACGACTCTCATGTAAGTCAATAGTGGTCGCTAGAAACCACTGTAAAATCGTAAAAAAATATTATGGAATAAAAAGAAATCCCCAAGTTATGATGAAAGGATTGGACAGAGACCATTGTGGATATGTTAAGGTCAACAGCGTCGGCTCAGGAATCCCTAGTCATCTGAGGTTACACAATAGCTGTAACGACAGTGCAGGTTTTTTTTATTAGCGTTTTTACGTTGGGAAAATGGTTGGAAGTAGTGGAGATTGTTGAAATGCCACGTGTGTTGAAGCACAGCGGCGAGGAATCTGAAACGTCTGCAGGTCGACCTGGAAATCCTGAGTGTCCCTCCCCACCCCTCTCGACACATTGGAATAAGCCGGCTTCTGGTCAACTTTCTGACAGTCGTGTTACAATCGTACACTTACTGATGCTATGCAGAGGTCCTCTGTCTTCTTTGCCCGCCATCCGCTGCTCATTGCGATCACCGCCTTCTTCTCGCACCGAGGGCATTGGGTGACGCAGACTGTATAGCGGGCTGTTCACACGCTCAGCTCGTTCCCTATAATGCTGCGCTTGTTTCTCGCCACTGTACCGCTGGCTTTCCAAGCCGGGTCGTTTCATTCGGCTGTAGGGCTTCTCCAGTTCGGCAATCCCCTTGATACAATCATACACGGGTTCGTCTTCCGGCGGCATGTCTTTCTCTCGACCTAGCCCTAGGTGTGTTACTGTAGCGGAGACCTCATGTATCTTAATATACACGGGAGGTGATTTCTGCTGTGTGTGAACTGTTTGATGGCTGGGTTTGGCCAGAGCATTACCATTAACGCTTGGTGTATTCGCACCCGGTCGTTCAGCAACTGACATGGCGAGGTCTCCCAAGCACTCTTTGTCCACCAAGGTGACTGGGAAGTTAGCGTGAGAATAGGTTTGCCGGGTGACATATCAAAACACAGACACAGTGTATGATTTCCAGTGCGGCGCGGACCAGAAGTGATGTACGCAATTCAGCAGCCGGGCACCCGCAATCAAAGCACATATATAGACACACACATAAATACATGCACACACACACACACACACACACACACACATGCATGCACACACGCACAAACACATACACACGCACACACATGTACACATACGTGCACAAACGCATATACCGGCAGACACACAAGAAAATGAGCAACAAAATCGTACTGGTGACAAAGGTTGTCTGTAATATGTGTACATGTCGTATGACATACGGACAGGAGACTACCTCCACAATTTGACTACGAAAGGACGAGATGGTCTTGTACAGGAGGGTAATCAAGCAGCGAGCGTGGACACCACAAAACGTACACGCCTATGCTCATTACTAGCAAATACTTGTACAGGAGGGGAATCAAGCAGCGAGCGTGGACACCACCAAACGTACACGCCTATGCTCATTACTAGCAAATACTTGTACAGGAGGGGAATCAAGCAGTGAGCGTGGACACCAGCAAACGTACACGCCTATGCTCATTACTAGCAAACACTTGTACAGGAGGGGAATCAAGCAGCAAGCGTGGACACCAACAAACGTACACCCCAACGCTCATTACTAGCAAACTCTTGTACAGGAGGGGAATCAAGCAGCGAGCGTGGGCACCACCAAACGTACACGCCTATGCTCATTATAAGCAAACACTTGTACAGGAGGGGAATCAAGCAGCAAGCGTGGACACCACCAAACGTACACGCCTATGCTCATTATTAGCAAACACTTGTGCAGGAGGGTAATCAAGCAGCGAGCGTGGACACCACCAAACGTACACGCCTATGCTCATTACTAGCAAACTCTTGTACAGGAGGGGAATCAAGCAGCGAGCGTGGACACCACCAAACGTACACCCCTATGCTCATTATTAGCAAACTCTTGTACAGGAGGGGAATCAAGCAGCGAGCGTGGACACCACCAAACGTACACCCCTATGCTCATTACAAGCAAACTCTTGTACAGGAGGGGAATCAAGCAGCAAGCGTGGACACCACCAAACGTACACCCCTATGCTCATTGCTAGCAAACAATTGTACAGGAGGGGAATCAAGCAGCGAGCGTGGACACCACCAAACATACACGCCTATGCTCATTATTAGCAAACACTTGTGCGGGAGGGGAATCAAGCAGCAAGCGTGGACACCACCAAACGTACACGCCTATGCTCATTACTAGGAAACTCTTGTACAGGAGGGGAATCAAGCAGCGAGCGTGGACACCACCAAACGTACACGCCTATGCTCATTATTAGCAAACACTTGTACAGGAGGGGAATCAAGCAGTGAGCGTGGACACCAGCAAACGTACACGCCTATGCTCATTACTAGCAAACACTTGTACAGGAGGGGAATCAAGCAGCAAGCGTGGACACCAACAAACGTACACCCCAACGCTCATTACTAGCAAACTCTTGTACAGGAGGGGAATCAAGCAGCGAGCGTGGGCACCACCAAACGTACACGCCTATGCTCATTATTAGCAAACACTTGTACAGGAGGGGAATCAAGCAGCAAGCGTGGACACCACCAAACGTACACGCCTATGCTCATTATTAGCAAACACTTGTGCAGGAGGGTAATCAAGCAGCGAGCGTGGACACCACCAAACGTACACGCCTATGCTCATTACTAGCAAACTCTTGTACAGGAGGGGAATCAAGCAGCGAGCGTGGACACCACCAAACGTACACCCCTATGCTCATTATTAGCAAACTCTTGTACAGGAGGGGAATCAAGCAGCGAGCGTGGACACCACCAAACGTACACCCCTATGCTCATTACAAGCAAACTCTTGTACAGGAGGGGAATCAAGCAGCAAGCGTGGACACCACCAAACGTACACCCCTATGCTCATTGCTAGCAAACAATTGTACAGGAGGGGAATCAAGCAGCGAGCGTGGACACCACCAAACATACACGCCTATGCTCATTATTAGCAAACACTTGTGCGGGAGGGGAATCAAGCAGCAAGCGTGGACACCACCAAACGTACACGCCTATGCTCATTACTAGCAAACACTTGTACACGAGGGGAATCAAGCAGCGAGCGTGGACACCACCAAACGTACACGCCTATGCTCATTACTAGGAAACTCTTGTACAGGAGGGGAATCAAGCAGCGAGCGTGGACACCACCAAACGTACACGCCTATGCTCATTATTAGCAAACACTTGTACAGGAGGGGAATCAAGCAGTGAGCGTGGACACCAGCAAACGTACACGCCTATGCTCATTACTAGCAAACACTTGTACAGGAGGGGAATCAAGCAGCAAGCGTGGACACCAACAAACGTACACCCCAACGCTCATTACTAGCAAACTCTTGTACAGGAGGGGAATCAAGCAGCAAGCGTGGACACCACCAAACGTACACGCCTATGCTCATTACTAGGAAACTCTTGTACAGGAGGGGAATCAAGCAGCGAGCGTGGACACCACCAAACGTACACGCCTATGCTCATTATTAGCAAACACAGGCACATGGGTGTAGCCTAGCACTGTTCAGTCTGATTTGCAACGTCATATGCCGTGAAATAGTGTACCCGTTCACTATTTTTCTTCTTTGAGTATTCCATCCAAGGATACTGGCTGTGCCAGCTCCTATGGGGTAGACTGCTCTCCGAACCAGGTCCATGCATGACGCGAACTATTACTTCCTCCGCTAAGCAAAACTTCGTTGCGTTTTTAGTGTTCTTGTCATGATATTTCTGTCAGCATTAGACATACATGTCTGTGATCTATCCCCTATATAGGGTAGCAGAGTTGTCGTCCATTGTTCTGACAGGCTTTTGAACCTCCGAAAAGCGTGGAGTCCTTTGAAAAAATCGGCGAAGCAGAACCGTTTCTCGACAGGATGTCACCAGAACACAACCCCGGGCGCGCAGGCATGACACCAAAGTGTGAAAATGAGAAACAGTTTGACAGACTGCGTGGCTCGAAGAAGTGTCCAGGAGCCGGCCAGCACTCAGGCACTGCTGTACTAGCACCAGTCGATGGTGCCCGTCTGCACACAGCCAAACTCAATGCACTTGTGTTTGCAGCGCAGGGGAAATCAAAAGTGTGCGACATTCAGGTTGTCGTTCAGTCGGCACAAAATCCTGATCTCAAAGTCGACGACTTGGCGTTCTTCCACAGCCTGTAGACAGACGTGTCACTCGTGGCGAAGAAAACCAGAAAGGAGCTTCTGCGGGGTGTGGAAACGTGCTGGCCCGACTACACCGCTGCGGACGGGGAGCGTTTGTTTGGGTCTGTATGGCTCCTTCCATGGCGTTCCGGAGAGTGGCCACAACTACCAGCGCCACTGTGGAGATCGTCAAGCTCACAGTTCGAGCGGAGAACTTGGCGATCTCCACGATCAGATCGTGTCTTGGAAACTTGTAAAGGCTGCGGAACAAAAGTTGGCAGCGTCATCAGATTCAGACGAAGAGTGAAGTTGGACTGCCTTGAAGCGAGCTGTGTGACATCTGTAAATAAATATCTTTCATATGCTGCCTTGTTTTCCACTTTGCAAAGCGTGTTTGTAGCCATAGAATGATTGGGACTGAACTGTAAAAACGCAACGAAGTTTTGCTTAACCCTTTAAGAGCCGCCCCATACTTGAATGCGTCGTAAACGACGCATTCAAATGCAAAACTTCAAAAGATCGGAACTCAGTCCAATCTCGCTCAAATCCAGTTATCGAAATATCCAGGGCGAAGAGAAAACTCTCGCCTGTCGGGAGAAACAATCCGCGAAGCGCTGCGAGCAACGGTTCCTGAGATAAATCACTCGTAAGTTGAGCCGCGATCGCGGCAATTTCAAAAGCGCGCAGTGCGACTTTAGTATTGAGAATTTTGAGACTTTTCGTCACGCTGGTTTACTCGAATCTGCACGGGTTTTACTGTTGATATTGTCAAGAGTACACAGCGAAGAAATTGGAACTCCACGATCGAGTAAAATGAAATATCTGGAGCGGGGCGCATTTGGGGCATTTTTCGTACTGTCACTGCGATCTAGCGCTGGATAGATGGTGTGCTGGCTATCATGATCGACCTCCTTCTCTGCCTCTCGCGGAGACCTTTCCAGGAAGCCCTAGATTGTGAGGATTGAGTGAGTAGAACTGAAGCTATGATTCAAGGAACACGAAAAAATGCAGAATTTTGAAATTTTCCTGTGGCTCTTAAAGGGTTAAGTTAACGGAGGAAGTATTAATATTCGGATAGAGAACCAAAGAATTAAATTTAAAAGAAATGACCAACATGTTACTTGTTATCCATTGTTTGTGTCCAAAACTGACAGTAATATGCTAGCTGTTGCAAAACTGACAGTAATATGCTAGCAGTTGCAAAACTGACAGTAATGTGCTAGCTGTTGCACTTTCTGACTACGCAACATCTTACTTATAACTGCAATGCAAAATACGAATAACATGTGTCATGACCCGGACTCGACTCGTCGTGAAAGCGACCACGCAATGAGATTCAGCAGCCAAAAGCTGGGCTCCGAAATATTCTAGAGTTCTGTAAGAACCATGATTAGTCCCGCGAAGGATTTGGCACTTTCGTTAGTTGAGCATTCATGGCTTACAACTTGTGGCCTAGAGTCACAAGTGTTGTCGTACGTCGGCAACACCTTCAGTACAAGTCGTCAGCATTGTACTCACTACACTGTTGAGCTTGAGGGGACCCTGCTTAGTCCTGCAAGGGAGCTGATACCTTTGTTAGTCGAGCAAGCATGGCACCTCTTCTCGCGTCGTACGACGTAAAGGGTCCTGCAAGTGCTTCGCGCACTGCGGACTCCGTTATCCCTTTTTTGGGAGAGGTCACGGCTTGACCGTGCAGCGCCCTACGGGGTAATGAGAGGGAAGAGCCTACGGGGCAGGAGATGAAGGGTGACCCAATCAAGACACCGTACGAAGGCGGCGCGCTCTAGCTGCGGTAGTTTGGAGTTGACAGGAGGGCATGCACATCGAAACCACGCCTTGTCAACGACCCGTTCTTTCTCAGTTTAACGACCACACTCAACCAAAAACAAAAACAACAACGAAACACAACGACACACCAACGCTGATGTGGCATCGCAAATCCCGTACCGTGCACGCAGGCACTGGGTTGCAACAGAAAAAAGACGCGCTGCAAGCGTGCCAAGCAGCGAGTGAGTACAGAACGCGTACTAATGCCAGTCATGGCAACGGAAGATAAAATTATGGAGATCGACCCGCGCATGGTTCGATCGAGAGCAGAGTACGAAAAAAGCACACATTCAAAGTTCAAACTGTGCAACAGAAGCAGAAGAGGAAAACGAAAATGAACACTTGTCGTGAAGTGAAGTGCTTCTGTCCAAGGGTGCTTGCACCCGACGGGGTGACAGCGCCCCTAGTCAGACAATACAAGGCAAACGAAATAGAAATTAGCTGAGTCACAGCGCGGGACTCCGAAACGAAAACCGGTGAGTATGTAAATATTAATTGTTTCGTACCTGCTGTACAACGTAACAATTCGTAACGTAATTTCAAACTAGCACTCGTAGAATTGTAGTGCGAATGTGCCACTCGATTATAGTAACAACGACAAAGAGATACTCTTCTAAACATTTGGCAACATTCCGACAGCGTACTCCAGGCTCCGTCGCACGATCGCCGTACGAATAACCTCGGACTTCACTGATAGTTGTAATTCTTCATGTAATGTGGGTGAGCGAGCTCCCCGAAGCTATACTAATATTTTCCTACAAATTATTATATATCACAATTATACTATAACTAAAATCACATAAAAGCCGCCTTCTTCCAACGAATAAAGATATCTTCTGATCGCTTCCCTTCAACCTCTGACTACCTTGTGTGAGCCGGAAAACAGGTGAGCTACTTATCTGCTTGAGTCAACTATATTGGTTGATGACCTGGTGCCACTAGATGGATCACCGGCCATGACATTTGGTGCTGTGACCAGGATCAAGCGATAATGCTATAACACTGTTATGTGTGTCTCCTTCTTGTACAGTGTTGAGAATGGCGGACAGACAACAGCGTGGCGCACCTGAGGCGCGACTTCCGCGACATGCCGCGCACCAACAGGAATTAATCGTGGCACTGCAGGCAGGTGCCTCGGCACTGGAGGCCCTGCGCCAACACTCTCATGCTTTGAAGCTCCGAGCTATCGCCGGCGGACTGACGTCGCTGTTGACGATCTTGAAGAAATTCTCGGTCGCCATTGAAGAGGGCCCTCCCCCGAAGCGACCCAGATTTGCAACGGCGGCAACGCCTCGGAATCGTGTTCGTGACGACACCGTCACTGCAGCTCGAGACGCCGCCCAGGCTGAACGAGAGCGCCTGACGGCCACAACCGATGCGGCCGCCGACGACGCCGCCAGCACTGGCTTTACGCCAGCGTATCTACTTTTTGGTAGAGAGTTGTGTTTACCACAAGATGTAGCCTACGGGTTACCCCCATCTGAGATGGCAAGCAGTAATGAACCGACTTACGTAAAATCTTTGCGTGAGCGGTTGGCTGACGTACACACTGTGGTGCGTGACTGGCTACGAGCCGTACATCAGCATCAAGCCCACCTCCACGATAGTGGAGCGGTACGGGTGTTGTTTGAGGTCGGCGACCCAGTCTGGCTACTAGTCCCAGCCATACCGGTTGGAACTAGTGCAAAGCTAGCTAAGCTATGGAAGGGCCCGTTCACTGTAGTGACACGGTTGTCTAATGTGGTGTACCGTATTCAGGACACCACCTCTGTTGCACAGAAGCTTCAAGTTGTTCATGTGAATCGCTTGAAGAAATGTCGAGTGCGGCCTAGTCGACTGCTACCCCCGGTAGTGGAAACCTTAGCCGAACCGATCAACCAAACGGTTGACCCACACACTGACCAGTCTCAGGAGGCTGCAGCGTACGTACCGGACGCAACTGATGTGTTGTACTCGGACGACGAAATTGATACTCGTACTGAGAGTTACGGTGGGGAGGTCCCTCTGTTAGAGCCACCTCCCGTACCCATGCCTATACCCGCAGAGGTACCCCTCGTATTGGCACGGCCAGTACGGAACAGGCGGTTACCGCCACGACTCGCCGACTTCCAAGTTGGGTAACATCACGGGGACGTGATTCTTGAGAGGCCGGGGAATTGTCATGACCCGGACTCGACTCGTCGTGAAAGCGACCACGCAATGAGATTCAGCAGCCAAAAGCTGGGCTCCGAAATATTCTAGAGTTCTGTAAGAACCATGATTAGTCCCGCGAAGGATTAGGCACTTTCGTTAGTTGAGCAATCATGGCTTACAACTCGTGGCCTAGAGTCGCAAGTGTTGTCGTACGTCGGCAACACCTTCAGTACAAGTCGTCAGCATTGTACTCACTACACTGTTGAGCTTGAGGGGACCCTGCTTAGTCCTGCAAGGGAGCTGATACCTTTGTTAGTCGAGCAAGCATGGCACCTCTTCTCGCGTCGTACGACGTAAAGGGTCCTGCAAGTGCTTCGCGCACTGCGGACTCCGTTATCCCTTTTTTGGGAGAGGTCACGGCTTGACCGTGCAGCGCCCTACGGGGTAATGAGAGGGAAGAGCCTACGGGGCAGAAGATGAAGGGTGACCCAATCAAGACACCGTACGAAGGCGGCGCGCTCTAGCTGCGGCAACATTCCGACAGCGTACTCCAGGCTCCGTCGCACGATCGCCGTACGAATAACCTCGGACTTCACTGATAGTTGTAATTCTTCATGTAATGTGGGTGAGCGAGCTCCCCGAAGCTATACTAATATTTCCTACAAATTATTATATATCACAATTATACTATAACTAAAATCACATAAAAGCCGCCTTCTTCCAACGAATAAAGATATCTTCAGATCGCTTCCCTTCAACCTCTGACTACCTTGTGTGAGCCGGAAAACAGGTGAGCTACTTATCTGCTTGAGTCAACTATATTGGTTGATGACCTGGTGCCACTAGATGGATCACCGGCCATGACACATGTAACATTGTGGTCCTTTCTTTTGTTCTATCCATCAATACTCGGCCGAAGGCCGGAGATAGGCACCCACCGGGCTAGCATCCAGCACCCAAAGGTGGGGCCATGCATTTTATTCGTCCAGTGTCAAGTCAAGTCGGCAGAATAGCGCGAGCTCCAGTGTGGGAGCAAACCCAATGTTGTTATTATTAATATTATTATAAATTTTATTATACTCAGCACTCACCTGCAGTCAGCTGTCTTGTTATTGTGCGCTTTGTTCCTTTGCGATTGCGGTTCTTGAAGAGAATTGCTGCTGTGACTGCAAGCGCAAATGATATGCCGACCATGATCACAGCGACGAAGACCTTTTGGTTGGTTTGCGATTCCACACCTGGGCAGCAAAGGAAGAACGGCAAAAACGCAACATAAAAAATAAATATAATGAAAGTTGCAGAACATGGTCAGTGTCCGCTACAAGCCAGCAATTGAATTTGTGCTGTCTTGAGGATTGTGGCTCTGGGAACATGCGGCCTGGCAGGAAGGAAGCGTGGGTGCGGCGTATGGGATTTTCAGTCTTTGACCACTTTGTGATCTAGTCACCTCCCACCCCTTAGAGATTGCAGCTGTGCCTTGATACTAGAGGGTGCTGGCCTTGATACTAGAGGGTGTTGGCCTTGATACTAGAGGGTGCTGGCCTGGATACTAGAGGGTGCTGGCCTTGATACTAGAGGATGCTGGCCTTTGATACTAGAGGGTGCTAGCCTTGATACTAGAGGGTGCTGGCCTTGATACTAGAGGGTGCTGGCCTTGATACTAGAGGGTGCTGGCCTTGATAATAGAGGGTGCTGGCCTTGATACTAGAGGGTGCTGGCCTTGATACTAGAGGGTGCTAGCCTTGATACTAGAGGGTGCTGGCCTTGATACTAGAGGGTGCTGGTCTTGATACTAGAGGGTGCTGGCCTGGATACTAGAGGGTGCTGGCCTTGATACTAGAGGATGCTGGCCTTGATACTAGAGGGTGCTAGCCTTGATACTAGAGGGTGCTGGCCTTGATACTAGAGGGTGCTGGCCTTGATACTAGAGGGTGCTGGCCTTGATACTAGAGGGTGCTGGCCTTGATACTAGAGGGTGCTGGCCTTGATACTAGAGGGTGCTAGCCTTGATACTAGAGGGTGCTGGCCTTGATACTAGAGGGTGCTGGCCTTGATACTAGAGGGTGCTAGCCTGGATACTAGAGGGTGCTGGCCTGGATACTAGAGGTGCTGGCGTTCGTTCCTGCCGATGCGGAAAACTCGACCTCCAGCCGAATCTCACGTGAAAAGTGATTAGTTATTGTAGAAGGCACATCTGCAACTTGTTCCATATAGGGTAGTGGTGTTCTTCCAGGCCGCGGAACACTCCGCCTGCAGCCATGTCTCACGCAAACCACACATTTGTTTCGTCTAATGGATAATAATCATGGCAAATATGGAATGTGGAGCGTTGAGATGTAGCCTGTATTGCACCTGTTCCATGTGTGGCCCATTGCGAGACTAGATAAGCACAGAGCAAACGGGTGTACAGTGTACATTACATGAACATGAACCCACACTGGAATTCATAGTGCATTACATCCCTTGTTCACACATACTTGCAAATGGATGCAAAGCCAGGTCCAAGAAAGAGTTGTCCCCTACCTTAATCCATATTGTGGGGTTTCATCTCTACTGAACAAACGAAAGTACATGTGGTACAATGAAAGCCACTCCACCATCCCCCCCCCCTCCTACTACCCTACACATACACATGTGTGTTTGAGAAATATGCAGGTTTGCTTGAAGAAACAGCTTTTCTAGGTGCCCCTTGCTGATAGTTAATAAGGTGAAACAAAGGGTCTGCGACGAGCTGGCGGAAATATTTCAAAGCTCGAATCGGACTTCAATTCTCGCTTGCTTCATCATATTTCCGCCTTGTAAAGAGGGAAAACTCAGATGTCTGAAGTCAAGAGAAAGAATACAGCTCAAAGAATCACCTCACAAAGGCAGGGGAAAAAAAGCAGCATGCACGACGTAAGGATCGATCTCCATACTCTTCTGCAAAGGCGAAAAAGTGCAGGTTTCGCACCCCGATCTTTTTTGTGCACACCCACACACACATAAACACAATCTGACAGAGACACATACTGCAACACACACACACACACACACACACACACACACACACACACACACTCAGACAGAGATACAGAGAGATAGATAGACAGACAGACAGACAGACTGGCAGACAGACACACAGACAGGCAGGCAGACAGACAGACAGACAGACAGACAGACAGACAGACAGACAGACAGACAGACAGACAGACAGGCAGACAGAGATACAGACAGAAAGGCAGACGGACAGACAGACGGACACACACACATACACACGCACACACACACACACACACACACACACACACACACACACACACACACACACACACACACAACACACATTCCTCAATCCCCCTTCTGCTGAACAGTGAGGTGCAGGATGTGGTTGAAGAGTTTTTCTCCCTTCCAAATCGAACAAGTGGCACAGGCCTTACCTCCAGCTTTGGAACAGCCATGTATGTGATGGCTGACGTAGTTAGGATGACACTCACAACGATACGACCCGTCAGTGTTAACACAACTCGATGTGTTCACATTACAGTCATGCCCTGCTGCTGTTGTTGCCGCTGCTGCTGATTCTCCTGCTGTTGCTGCAGCAGGCGCACCAACACCACCGATAGCAACAGCTGCCGGTGAAGCATTGCCGGAGCACTCATCGTGATCGATGCAATTCGGATGAACTGAAGCGTTGTAGATGTAACCCGCGGGGCATGCACAACGAAATGACCCTACTGTGTTCTCACACACAGCGCTGCCTCGGCACAGGAACAGCGACGTGGCACATTCGTTGTTGTCCACGCACCCGGACGCCGCACTCGCGCTCGCTTTGAACCCTCGCGGGCACGAGCAGACGTGCGAGCCGATCGTGTTGATACAGACCTGTGCAGCGCGGCAGGTGTGGCTACGGCGAGCGCATTCATCAATGTCAATACACGATGAGGCATTGGCGAGCCACATGAACCCAGACGAACAAGAACAAGAGTAGGATCCGGGCGTATTGGAGCAGACGCTACGTGGTCCTCTGCATTCGTGCGTGCCTCGCCGGCACTCGTCGTGATCCAGACACGGTGCTGAGCTGCTGCGGCTGTCGGTGTCCACGATATGCCCTGCTGGACACACACATGTGTACGAGCCGGCAGTGTTACTGCATAGCTGATCAGGGGCACAGCTATGAGCTGCAGCGGCTGCGTCGGCACTAGAGCATTCGTCAATGTCCACACACCCATCGTCGGCATGGTCACCACCCAGCATGCCATAGCCAGCCGTGCACACACAGACGTACGAGCCATGGCTATTCTGGCATGTCGTCGAGTTCTGCTCGGCACACGAGTGCGCGCCGTGAGCACACTCGTCCAGGTCTTGACAGCTAGCCAGCTCCGCACTGGGATGCGCGAGGATCATTCCGGAGCCGCACATACATACATAGGAACCTGGCGTGTTCCTACACCGTGTCGTCGCGCCGGGGCACTTGTGAATCATCAGGTTGCATTCGTCGACGTCTTCGCAACCTTGGCTACCACTGCTAGTAGTTGTAGTCAGGTTGTACCCATCTTTGCAGATACACACGTGTGAACCGGGCGTGTTGGTGCAGTTTCCGGATGGTGGTAAGCAGTCGGTGGAGCACTCATCAACATCCAGACATGCATTGCCTTGCTGATAGAACCCAGCACGGCATTCACATGTATAGTTACCCGGCTGATCGTGGCACTGCGTGTTCGTCAGCTCATGGCAGGAGTCCGTTCCTTGCTGGCATTCGTCCACGTTGATGCAACTCAGAACGTCGCTGGTGTAGTCGGTGGTGTAGCCGACGTAGCACCAGCAGAAACCCTGCTTGCATCCGCACTGCGTGGAGTTCCTGCACAGATCCGACGGATTCTCTATCACATAACATGTGGGTGACGTTCGGTATTCGTCGTTGGAAAACCGTGCATGCACGCACGCATAATACGCCCGTAAGCACGCACACACAGATACAGCCACATGTGCGCGCAGACACGGACACAGGCGGACACATATACACACACATACACACACACAAGCGGACACACGCGCACACACACACACACACACACACACACACACACACACATACACACACACACTTGCACACACACACACACACACACACACACACACACACACACACACACACAAACACACACACAAACACACACAGACACACGAACACACAAACACACAAACACACAAACACACAAACACACACACACACGAAAACACAGAGAAACCGTCAACAATTCCAAATCAGTAACTCATCAAACAGATACTGTGTAGACACTATATGCACTTTTATTTATACTTCATCCATAAAAATACAGGGTTCATCCGGAATGATCGATTTATGACTTCATTTCCGTTGTGTGAACTGAAGACAACCAACATCAGGATACAAATTTAGCAGGGTAGTACGTTATCATTCCCGACCAGTTATGTAACGCCCTGTATACTAAAACGTGCTCATTGCCCTGTCGATACCGGATTCGCTCAGAACACATTAATGGTTGGGATAACAAAGATTACGTTTCACCATAATTTAATTTTCTGTCCATGATAAACTCGGATGGTGAGCCAATTACATTATAGTGAAAAAGGAGAAGGACAACATGTTACGAGTTTTGACAAACTGTCGCACTCGCTGACGGTATAAGACCTGGTTACGTTGGTGGACAGTTAGTCATAACTCGTAACATGTTGTCCTTCTCATAATTTTATCCATGATTTCACCATTATGGAAGGAAGTAGAGCTCGAAGCTCCCACGGTGAAGTGAACGCCAAAACTAAGGCGAGAGCGAGCTATTTAGGCACACCGGGAGCTTCGTGCAACATGTTGCATTGTTATCATACAGGGCATGCGAAGAGCATTATTCTGACTGTACGCTTAAAGCAAGCTGGCAGTTTTAGAGCTGCGGTACATAAATTAGTCGGATGCGAACACAAGAGCGCATGGACTACTTTCCGCTTTACAACAGAGAAATCCGGGCAACAACAAACATATGTTCGGAGCGAAGCATTTTCTACAAAGACAAAAGTGCAGAGAGAACATCATACTGGTATATACGTGGACCAGTGTCATTGCTATGAAACTGGAGAAGCATGCTACTCTAATAAACAGGAGTAACTAAAGGTACACTTGTTTCGTGAACCTCACAAATACAACTGTCGTCTCGGGTTCAACTCATAACTAAGAACTAACGACTGACAACAAACGACTGACGACTGACACTCAGAAAAGACGAGACAACAGATTATAATAGTGAAGGCGTACAACGGGGACAAGACGAGCAAGTGTGTACCCAACGGGGACAGAAGACGGTGCAGCCGCACGTACGCAGGAGTCAAAAACAGCGCAGCAGCATGCACGACAAAGAGCTACACGTGCAACCGCATGTACATTGAA